TCACTGCAATTTCAGGCACCTCCTACTAGAAAAGAGATGACAAAGTACATGGCTTAGAAGAAACAGCCCTTCTAAACTCCAGCTTGTTGTCTGCAGCTTATTTTTAACGTGTGCCATCAAATGTGAGGCTCAGATATGATGACTCTGAAGAACAGAGCAGGAAGGATTTGTGTCACGGTACTTTCATCCCAATCCACATGCAAAATACAACACAGGTGCTGGAATTGTGCAGCTGCACTGCTTGAGAAGAAAATTTTTGTATTTTTTGCCCAAATACTGTTTTCAGAAGTCACCCTGAATCACAAATGCTCCTGCTAGCCAGGCTCACGCTCATTTATTTGGCTGTGCTGACCCCCAGAGTCCAGTGCTCTGCATGGCACATCCCAAGCCAAATCCCATCAGGTTCCTCAGCCTCTTTCCTCCCACAGCCACTAATTCAAAGATACTTTTCTGGAGTGATTGCTCCCACAGCCTGGGGATGATTGCACCCTGCCAGCACCAGAGAAAACAGACATTTACCCCGCGCTGACTCAAATTGCTGCATGCATCTGAAACTGCAGAATTAACTCGATAAAGGGGGGGAAAAATTACATAAGCATTATAATAAAGCACATAGAGAGTCTCGTGGGAAAGCTGTCTGATTATATCTAATATCTCCAGCCACACACCTGAAAAAACCTGAATTATCACCAGATGAGCACCTGCTAGGGCAGAAAGAATCCTTTATATCTGCTACTTGAGTCTGGAGAAAGCTGATATTTTCTAATATACATTTTTAGGACTTTCTAATTCCATTTTTCTGAAATAACTGTTTTCCATGTTAGCTGTCAAACACAGCAATCAGACACTGTAAAACACACAGAAAACAGAGAGGGATTAATTTGGTTAATTATTCTTAGGTAGTTGCTGCATAAGATAAATTGTTTAGACCACAATCACAATGTTAAAATCACTGTGACAGACACCAAAACTTCCCCAGGACAAGAGGACACTGGAAGCTGAGTGATTGCTCACTTTTTTTTCTTTTTTTTCTTTTTTTTTTTTTTTTGAGAGGAACCCTACTTCAATAAATGAAGTGTCTTTCTCTTGCACATAGCACTAAAAAATCATAGAGTTTTCTTTACCCAGATTCAGGTCTCCTTTAAGAAGAAGGTTTGCAGCTGTTTTCTAAGCAAGTTTAAAATACCTATATAATTTTTTAACTTTTAAAGCTCATTGCGACCTTCAGTCTAGGAAAAAAAAAAATTGCCTTCAGGTAAGGGGCATTTTTCACAACTCAGATGGGAATTATCTTCCCTCTCCCCCCTTTGCAAATGACAACCTGATAAATCTCTTTTATCTCAGTATACCCTTCCTCTGAAGACAGGATCTTTTTTCTTGGCTCTGCACCACCCTTTAGGCTGACACTTGTCCCCTGAGCTACAGCAGCAGCTGAAGAGACATTTGTGAGCAGGGACATCCCCCGAGTCCCCTTTGTCACCACCAGCTGCAGGACTGGTGACATTGGCACTGGGTACACACAGGGGACAAAAGGAAAGTGCTGAAATGTGAAAGAGAGAAAGGAAAAAAGCCATAATAAATAACATCCTGGAAAGAAATCAAAGAGACCTATCGCTTGATGTATCACCCAGAACCATGTCCTTCTCAGGAGCCCTGTATCAGCAAAGAGCTGATGGCACTGATGGATCACCGTGCTGGGACAGCCCAGGGGAGCCAAGCCAGGACTCCCACCTGACCCTGCAGCCCTCAGCCCCACAGAGCATCCTACTGCCAGCAGGATTGCACTGGGGAGCATCATTCCTTCACTCAGCACCTGAGGCTGCTGCCATAAACAAACTTATGGAACATGCTGGAACTCATTAAAGTAGAATAACTTTTCAAGAAAATACCCATCTCCAAGCACAGGTGAAGCCAAGAGAAATCTGTGGTGCTGTATCCTCGATGCATCATCTCCTCCTAGGAAAACATCCCCTGCACTTGGGGAGGGGTCCCGGATTCTTTCATTTTGCAGCACAAACATTAGAGACGCGGAGAGGAAGCACAAAGGAGAGAACACAAGAATCCCCTGTGGCCTGGCACGGATGCCAGCATCACCCCTGCCAAAGCCCCCGTGGCTGCTGCCACCTCTGTCCCAGTGAGCCCCCCATGGGGCTGAGAACTCCCCCTGCTTTCAGGCACCTCCTACTGGAAAAGAGATGACCAAGTACACGGCTTGGAAGAAACAGCCCTTCTAAACTCCAGCTTCTTTTCTGCAGCTTATTTTTAACGTGTGCCACCAAATGTGAGGCTCAGATATGATGACTCTGAAGAGCAGAGCAGGAAGGATTTGTGTCACAGTACTTTTCATCCCAATCTACATGCAAAATACAACACAGGTGCTGGAATTGTGCAGCCACACTGCTTTGTGGCTGCCCTTTCTGCTGCAACTCCATTCCCCCCCCTGCTCTGGGTACGATGTGCTCGGGACGTGCTCTGCCCAATTCCCCTCGCAGCCAGCACCGCTCCCAGCACAGCAGCTCACAGAAACCAGCCCTGGCTGCGCCCGGGGGGACGGGGGTTTTGGGACCCACTGGGTGTTTGAGGTATTCCTTGTAAAGAAAAATGGGAGACAGTCCAGAGCAGGGATAACAGCTTCCCTGCAGGGGTGGCGGGGGAAAGGGTTGAGGGATGGGTACAAGTGAGGCAACCAACTCCTGTGCTTCCAACCAGTGATGGCAATTCAGGTTAAGTCATCAAGCAGGTGCTCCTGCTTTAAGTAACTTGCTTCCACCTGACTTCACATCTTTTTTTTCCCTTTAACTAATATTGTAAAGATACTGGTTTCATTTTGTGTTAGATAAAGCAAGCTACTCTCAATGTCACATATGCTTTGAAAAAACAAAAGCATGTTTTATGTTCAAGATACAGCTATTAAAAACAACTTATGTAACAAGTAACTTGACTGATTTTTGAGACTTAGAGCCCTGCTGTTGCAGGTTTTTAAAACCTCCTTTTTCTTGGGTTGACCATGGGTTGAGACTGGACCATGCTGCACCACATACCCTGCAGCATTTTCTCTATCCAAAGTCTAATTTTAAGAAAAATAAGTGACAAAATATTGTGGAAAGAGTATAATGTCACAAAGTATAATAAAAACATTAAAAAGTAACATTTAAGCCTCTTGTGGTTAGGAAAGAAGAACAGATCCTTTGGGACAGGTATTCATACTTTGAAGGGTCCTTTTAGGATTCTTACTGAAGGGAGAAAGAAATCCCTCTAGCATTTAAGACCAGTAATTCACTGAGCAATGTGCTTAGCAGAGGCTGTGGAGGTTTACAGTGAAAGAAGGAGGAGGCTCATGATAACATATTTTGTAAATCAAGGCCAAATCAAATACATTGAGTTTCAGCAGCTGTGCCAATTAAATTTCATTCAATTTGCTGAACAAAAACGTTAACATTAATCACTTTGGCAAATTTCTTAGAATATTTCGTGTCACTGAGTAGTTAAGTGATTTTGTGCTTGTTTACAGTGCAGAATAACATTCTGTGAGGCAATATCATCAGTCACTGAGCAACTGTGGGATGCTTTAGGAGCCCTGGGTGTTCTTAGCAATGTTTCTGTAGTGGTCCTTTGCCTCCTAGAGGTTTTTTCAAATGTATCCAACAGATTTTGTTATTGCTAAACTGCAGTTGTTCTCTGCCATCCACCCTTAGCACAGTCCAAGAACAAGATTCCAGCCAGAGCAGAGGCAGTTTTGCCATCTGAACCCTCCGCAGCCACACCCCATCTCAAACTCAGATCATCAGGGCAGCTCAGGGGCACAGGGAATTCCTCTTTGGCCTCACTGAACAAATGAACAGGTTCACCTTTGATCAGGTGTTGAAGTCTCCACAGCTGAGGTTGTTTCCTGCCCTACCTTTAATTCCAGTTCCAGATGACTCGGCACCAACTCACAGAAATCCCTGCTGCAGAGGAGGCACATCTCACCCTGGGCTGGTCCAGCACAGGTGACACCCACAAAGAGAGGAGCTGTTCTTCTGACCTTGTAACCCCGCTGGGTGGGGTTTTTCCCCTGTTTTCTTTCCTTTCCCCTCTGCTTTCCCTTTCCCTGACCCTTCTGAGGTGAATGAGGCAAGGTGGCAGCTCCTGCTATAGAGTTTCTGCCCTCTCAAGGGTGAAATGTAGGGAGGAAAACACGCCCAAAGGTGAAAAGATAAGATGCAAAAAGAAACAATAATAGCAGGAAAAAAAAAAAAAAAAATCAGGCAGCAAAATCAAGGTAGTGAGATTTCTCCCTGGATTGTCAAGGCTTTTCTTTAGCTGTAGGTTCATAGATTCATCAGTTTAAACATTAATAAAAAGGAGCCAGCTGCACAAGAGAAAAGTAATTTTGAAATGAAATCAGGAATAATTGCGAAGTCCCCCAGCTGCATAAAGCAACCCACAATATGTCATTCATTATCTGTGTATCAGGTAATTAAATTTCAGGATCCCACATGGTAAATTTGATGCTGTACATTGATATTAACAGATGAGGGAGGCACAAGGAGCATTTCTGGAAAACCAAAGAGCTCAGTGAGATGTTTTGTGAGCATAAGGCAAAATGAGTTGGGTGACTTGGCTAATATGTTACTGCATGGTGTTATTAAGAAATATTGAGTCCTAAGTGCTAAACTCTCATTTTTCGCCTTTTCTCTCTTCCCAGCTGCATTCCCTAAAACATTCTGTGTTCTGCCAAAGATGCCCTGAAACAAGGGCTTCCCCACCCCCAAGAGAAATGCTTTTAACTTCCCTTGGAAAAGGAGCAGAGCAGAGTCTGGGACAGCATCAGAGTTGGCATCAGGGCAACATCTCAGCATCAGCACGTGTGAGTGCCACTACCCCACACCAAGGGGCAGAGTAACCCAGGGCTGGTACCTGCTCTAATTTAAGAAGGAACAAATAAAACCATGTGGAGTTATGACATGGTTCCTTGTTGTTAGAAGCCAATGAAATCAAAACAGACCCAGAAAAGTTTAATTAGTCCAGTTTTTATTCAAATTAAATGATGGGGAACTACAGTGTGATTTTCTTTCATAATATAAATATGTCAGTGAAGAATGTTTCTTGAGTTGTTCGTCACACTGGACAAGACAGCTGTCAAGAGAGTTACTTTGCAACATCCTTTGTCCTCCACACTCATGCAAAAAATAAAATCTTTAATTTAAAAAATTAGCTTAAACAGTCAACCAACTTGTTAGAGTATACTGTCAGCTACTGAACCAAAGTAGTCAGGTTTACAAAACCAAAAATTTTCACACCCAGGTAAATTATTTCACAATCATTCATTACCCTTGAGGGTCTCTATACATAAAATATACAAATTAAAATTATCAATGTTTATTTATTTATTGTCACTGAAGAGGAAAATAATTTATAAACCCATAAACAAAGATAAGAGCGGATGACAAAAGTGAATGAGCCCATATTCAGACCATAATGTCTAGCACACTCCCAAACACTGCAGCTTTGAGCAACAATGCTCACATGAAAGTGATTTTTGGGCATGATATGGGCAAAGGGGGCAACTGCTTTGATAATACATGAATAATGAATCCCAAAGGTTAAGTCCAAGCTGCATTCATCTGTTGAATCATCACAGCAGCTTGATGAACAGCATTTATCTGTTGAGCCATCACACTGGCTTCAGGAACAGGCATCACACCTTGCTGGATATTAAGGATTTTGGTCTCCAAACAATGTAAACCAGAGAACAGTACTGAGCTTTCCTGGTGGTGACATGCAAATGCTGCCAAGTGTATTTATGGTAACTATTTGTACACATCCATAGAAAGACACTGTTTTGATAAACTGAATGAACTGAAAATTGATTTTAAACACCCCCAATTTATCTATTAGGCACCAATGGAAAAGATGGGCTTCATTCAGACTTGTTTAAACAACAGCTTGCTTGAGGCAAACCTGCCCTGCATTGCAAGCCCAGCAGGGTTGCACCACACACGATGCTCCTGGGGCTGGGGCTCATCCTGGGGTGCTTTTCTGCAGGAGCAGATTCCCCTGTAGGAAACCCAAGGCCAGAGTCCCAAAGGGGGTCAAACACAGGGCCAAATACTCCAAAAAGGGATTACAACAGAAGGAGCTGAGAAAAGTGTTCATATTCACAAAGGACCAATATGAGGAAGAGGTCCAAGTTTGGTCTGTAAAGCTTTTAGTAAAACTCCTACAATAATTTGTCTGATTTTGGCATCCTGGGAGGCTGTGCCCAGACAGTTGTGGGCAGAGTATCTCTGTCTTCAAGCAGCTCATGCAGGAGCCAAGAACCACCAAGTGACAGCTTGTCCCCCAAATTACCCAGGAACCAAATTCATGGCACAATGAAATGAAATCAGGGTATTGAAATAATTGTAAAATAACCAATAATCTAAGAGCCTACTGGTGACTGAGGTAATGGGTCTCAATTTATCTCATAATGTGGAACCCAATGCTGTCCTTCTAACATTAAAACCAACACAACAGCTATCCCAGATCTTTCTTACAACATGGCATTTCTTGTGCAGAGAACATACAGAGTCACACCTACACCACAGCCAGCAAAAAACACACTGGAGTGCACGAATTAAATCCAGAAATGTCATTGAAGACCATAAAAAGCAATCAAAATTTTTTTAATTGTCTTATAAAAATATTTACAGTAAAATTTGTTAGCACTAATGCTACGTTTTCAGTCCTAGAAAAAGGCAATCTGTAAAGGATCTGGCTCAGGTGCTCAAAATGAACAATACAAACACGAAACCACACACCAAAGACAAATTCCAAAAGCATTTTGGGGCTGGGGGACACAGCTGGTTCATCACATGTTGTTTGTATTGCATAGCTGGAAAATGAGGTCACTTGACTTGCATAACACTGCAACGTTTGGGAAGGAAGGGAGGACAGGAGAAGTGGCTGAGCTGGGAACAGCATCACTCGTCCCTGGCAAGGGCTGGGAGTCCTAGCCCTGTCCAGCATGCCACAGCTCTGGGCCAGCACTGGGCAGAAGTGCCATTTTACAAGAGCAGAGAACCACCAAAACCTGTTTTCCTTATGAGCAAGGAAGGTTCATGAACAGATGGATAGCAGGGGATAAAATTATCCCACCTCCAGGTATACCCACTTTCCACAACTGACAGCCACAGCAAATTGCAACCTTGCACCTCTCTAGCAGTACCTACTGATTTTTATCTCCAGCCCACAAAAACTCTTTCTCTGGGTAATATTTGCCTTTACTCCAGCAAAGCCAGAGGTGTACGAATGTTGGCTGGGAACTGTTCCCAACTGTTGAGCTGCAGTCGGGTTGCACAGTAGCTTATAGAGGAGTTTATTTAGCTTTATGTCAGTACCAGACCTTACAAAGGCCACATGTGCCCAAATGCTTGTCCAGCCTTGTCCAGTCACCTCTGCCTAACAAGAGATGCTGACTCGAACTGAAATGCTTTGTCTGTCCCATTTTATCCCTTATTCCCAGGCTGCATGGAAGGGAACCACCTTTTGGGTCAGTGAATTTACGTCTGTCCCAGCTGAGGCCTCATCACCTTCCTTGTGCCACCACAAAGGTGCATCTCAGGACTCTGATCTGAAGGCAGCTGCAGTCAAGGAAACATTCCAACTGGGATATACATTCCTACTCTGATATACATTCCTACTGGGATGTACATTCCTACCAGGGTACATTCCTACCAGCCTCAATGGCTTTTGCAGTAAGCAACACCTCACAGGAGAGCAGCATGTCACACTTATTTTGGCACATTTCACTGCAGATTGTAAAACTCAAAGCAAAAGGTTTAAAGGATATTATGGAAAAGACTAATTTTTTTTAATTACTATTTTCAAGACCTCTGAGCTCACATACAGTGGAAAGGCAGACATAAAGAGTAGCAATGCATTTCTTTAGACAGTTTGCCCTTGTTTGTGAAAGCGAGAACATCCAAAGAGGAGTGGGAGCTACCTCACATTCCCCATGAAGGGAATGCCAGCCCCTCTGCAGGGCTGTTTCCCTCACAGTGAACAGGCATCCATCTTACAAGAACTGTGTCAACTCAAACACCAATGACTACATATTTATAGAAGAAACCCACTCCTCTACAAAAGCAGCACAAGGTGATGCAGCTTGGATCCCTCTGAAATAAATTTTTAAGTATTTTTCTTTTCTACTGTCAAAGGTCACACAGAGCAGATCTGTGGAGACAGAAACCAGCATAACAACTCTGGACAGCTGCCCACAACAAAAAGCCTCAGCTGATCTACAAGGGGAAAACAAAAAAATAAACAACCCCAAACAACAAGAAAAGGAGTAGAGAAAATATTTTTCTTCACTAGTTCCCTTTAGCTGAGGAGCTTCTGGGAGCTCACCTCTGTATGCAGAAGCATGTCAGAGCTCATAGGGAGACACAAAAAGCTCTTTTAAAATCAAATGTCTTCTTAACAGAAAACTTTGAGAATTTGGTATATAAGCAAGACAGGTCCCTTACATCTCGATCTAGATTTGTGTGTTTTGAATAATCTTATGAGTTCTTCATACTAATAGAGGAATGCTTTCAGTAAGGGCAAGACTAAAATAGCAATTACAGTGACAGTGATTAGTTAATCTCCATGCTCTGGAAGCATTAAAACACTGCAGGTATTTTACTTGGCTCATTAATCCCTGCTTGGGTGACAGAGGGCTCTCTCTGTATGGAATGTCTCTACATTAATGGCACCATAAGGTATTTTTTAACATCTAAGTGCTCTATTATGAAATGGCATTGAGATGCTGGACAGAGCTAGAACTGAAGCTTTCAGCACAGCTGAAACGTGTGGCTTTGGAACATTTTATTCAAGCAACATTTGTTTCACAGGAGCAACAAAGCCCGTGGGAGCAGCGTGTGTTGTGTGGGGCTGGGGAGTTTGTGTGGCTCAGGTGCTGAGAGCTCAGCCCCGGGGAAGGCACTGCCCAGCAGGTCCCGGCACGCACAGCACACAGCATTCATGGCAAGTAGAAAAACCACATGGTGTTTATTTCCACAAGCATTTCAGGGATACATACAGCAGCCCACTGGCATGTACAGACGTATGACTGAGACAGCGTCACACTCGAGCCAGACCACCCTGTTCCAGTCCATTTCTGCTGTTTTTCTCTCTTGGAACTCAGAAGTTTCCCCTGCCAGTATTAAAGTCTGCCCTCCAGGCACAGTGAGTAAGTAGTTCAACCAACAATGTGCACGGAGCATCAGTAGGGAAGAAATCCAGAAACGTTTGTTTTTACTCACATGCCCAAACGTAGCAGTTTTGTTTCACACCAAAAATTCCGTGCCTGCAGTCCAAGCACAGTGTTTATCTCAGGACACATGCCATCGAGAAGAACAGTTGATTGCACCACAGATAACAAGCAACACCTCATGTCTAGCATGGAAAATGTCCCCAGAGGGATTTTCACTTGGCTATGCAATCCACTGCAGAGTGGATGATGCTTGCAACGTATCACTTGTCATGCTAAGACATTAACAGCAATGAGATGGGTCAAGTCAGAGGTCAGTCATCTTCCCAACACCACCTAGCTGGATCCACTTCACTTCTGCTCCTCACATTGGCTTGATCGTGTGTCACAAGGGTTTGTGAATAACAGCCACACCTGTTGTAAGAACAGACAGACACAGTTATGGTAGGAGCAGCTCCTGTGCTGCCACGTGGTTACAATCATCCTGCAAAGCCAAAGGCCAGCAACGAGGGAGGTGTCTACCACTTCTGTGAAAGTTTCTCCTACTGAAATCAACATAAAACGTACAAAAAAAGTAAAATTAAAGCTTCAGGGAGCGCAGCCCTCAAGTTTAGGGATGACCCCACCACCGCCCACTCTCTCACTGCCTGTTTACCTGCATAACTCCTCCCTGTGCTCATGCTGGTTGGCAACAACGTCCACTTGTCTGTGCTGGGGTTGTAGTACTCCACCGAGGCCAAGTTGCAGGAACCATCATCGCCTCCCACCACGTAGAGGAGACCATTCACAGCACACACACCTCAAAGCAGAGCACAGATGGTGAGACATGGGCTAACTCATCCCCCACAGCACGCTGCTGCCACATTCTGATTCACCCCCAAGCAGATCCCTCAACTCCCATTTTAACCTTTTACAACACTGATCACAGACACCACGAGCACACCAATTGCATTAAAAACCACACACAGACAACTGAGCCAACCACCACAGAAAAGATTATCATGGTTACCTGCATTTCTTCTACACATATTCATGTCTGCTACTTGCTTCCAGGTGTTTGTCCCTGGGTCGTAGACTTCCACACTCTTCCTCACCAAGGGCCCGTCGTGGCCCCCGGTGGCGTAGAGCAGCCCACTGAGCACACCGACACCTGCCAAGCACAGCCAGGTCAGCCACAGCACAGGACAGGCCTGCAGCTCCCTGGGTCTGCTACTGGGCATGGCCCTGGCCTCGCCAAAAACTTCCAAAAACATGGGCCACATGTGCATCACGATCACCAGGCATGAGGTCAGCTCTGCACCCGCCCACCCGTGGCACTGCAGCAACTTGCAGAGAATGCCTGGCAGATGTCCCCTCTTAGGGAGCTGTCAGGCTACCCAAGACCAGCAGCCTAGTCCCATGACATTCCTCTGCCTTTATTCCATCTCTTTGCACTGATTTGCTCTCTGCCTCCCAATCCACCTTGTTTCCATCTGCCTGATATTTTCTGCCATGAGACCCTCTGCTTTTAGCCTGATTTCTCCTTTCAGGACTTTTACTTTTGTGTTTCCTGCTGCCATTGTGCCACATGACATCATCCTTGCATGATCTTCCTCTCCTCAACAACTTACAGCTCTTGAAGCTGCCACTTGATTCCTCTCCTCCCACTCCCACCCCAAAACCTGGCAGCACTTGGCACAGACAAGGTGCCTCCAATGTCACCTTCTCAGCCATTTTTTAAGGCCCCATGTCAAATCTCTGGGAATGACAGGGATCTTAAAGCTACTTCTGCCTAATATTAAGTAAATTAGTTAATTAACATGTTCACCAATCCGTGAGAGTTAAAACTTCCAGCAACATGTCTTCATTAATAGGTTCAAAGGCCTCTATTAAAATTAACAAGGTGGTATGTTAGTAAAACAGAAACAGATCTGAATCACATCATTTCAACCGTGGGCATCAACCAGTGTGCAAGGAGGAGAGGGGCCCTGCCAGCCTGATAACAACAGGTTTTTGACTTGGTCCCTGTGCAAGGATCTTTCCTGGGCAGGAAAGGAGAGGGCAGGAACAGCTGCTGAGCCAGAGAACAGGCACCACCCATGCTCAGCAGCTCCATCAGCAGCTGTCCCCATCTGGGGACAGGAACATAGGTCTACCACTGTCACTTCTCCCTTCTCCAGATTATCTTAGCTTGCTATTGCTGGGTTTGGTTTTGGCCAGCCATCTCTCACTGTACCAAGAGGTGCTGAAATCCTAATATGACATTGGGATTCGTGGTTCACCTCTGGCAAACATACAATTAATCTGTAACTGCCATAAATATCCACCCTACTGGGCTACATCCTTGCTGTGGTTGAAGGACTCCAACATGCAGGACTTGGGAAGAGCAGGACACATCCACATCTGTTTCTTGGCTCCTGAGATGCAGCAGATGTCTCCCAGCTCACTGGGAAATAGTCACTTAACTGCATCTGAGCCCAGCAGCCTGGCTGTGCAGCACCTTGGCATTTGACTATATTCAGCTGTTAATGGAAATTTTATATCTGTAAGAATGAATTTAATGAGTAAACTAATTTAGCATGTAAGAGAGTAAAAGAGTCAGAAACACTCAAAGTTTTTCACATGAAACTGCTTCCTTGTGCAGTGAGACAAGGCATGCAGGGACAGGACATCCCTGCCAGCAGGGGAAGTGAACCCCCAGAGGTTCAGCAAACACTGGGAGTGTTCAAAAAATGTGCATATGTGGCACCTGGGGATGTGGTTTAGCAGTGAACAGGGCAGTGCTGGGGTAATGGTGGGACCTGATTATCTTAGAGGTCTTTACCAATCAAAAAAAAAAAAAAATTATGATTCTCCAAAACCTGGGCAGCACCTGCACATCCCCACAGCCCCAGTGACTCCAGGGGTTTGGGGTGGCTCCAGAGCCTTGGGGACACCTGTCCTCAGCCCCACTAGATGTCAGCACAGGGACAGAGCTCAGTGTCATTGCTGCAGCTGTACAGCAGATTGTGCTGCTGCACCGCTGCTGGCCAGTGGCACGGGGCAGACCCTGCTGGAGGGGCCTCTGCAGGACAATCAGAGCCTGAGGAGCTCAGCTTTCAGGTGGGGAACAGAAAACTGCAAAGAAATTTGGCAGGGGAGTAGGAACATTGCTAACAAAGGACTTGCTACATGGAGAAACACTTGTAAAGCAGCACTCAGAGCAGAGTGTCTCCAACAAAGACAACTCACCAAAATCCATTTCACTACAGGCACAAAATTCTTGCTGTTTCAACACACTGCCAACAATAGGAGATACTCATTCTGCTCTCCTGAAGGCTGCACTGGGCTAGGTTTAAGCATCAAGCAGATACTACAAACCTCTTCAACAGAACTCTAACCAACAGTGTGTCCATATTTACCTCACCTGGAGCTACAGAAAAGATGGTGGACTGGGGAGAGAGAGACAGGGTGTACAGAGCAGCCTCAGCTGCCCAGCTCAAAAGGGAACTCCCACCACAGCTTAACCTGTGGGTCATTTCAGCCCCAAAGAGCAGCCTCCAGGCTTGCCTATGGGTTCCTGCACAATTTAATATCAGGGAAGACCCACAGCACACACTGACAAATTCCTATTCACTGAAGATGATTTTAAATGCAGTGGAAAACAGCTCTTCTCCCTTTCAGAGAGAAATAATGACAGAGAACAGAAATTGCTACCTGGCCCAAGATCATGTAGGAAATTAGAAACCATCAAGACTAGAATCCAATCCTTTTACAACAGGTCCTTTCCTCTAATCTTCCAGATCATCAACTCTTGCCAACAAAAAATAAACTAAAAACTACCTAAGCAAGGACAATCTGAGATGAATTTTGTTATCCTACACATCACCCAATGTGCAGATGAGGTTTGTTTTGCAAAGCCCCCACTAGGTGCTTGCAGGAAGATCCAAAATGAAAATTCCTCTGACACCCTACAATGACAGGGGAGAGGGAGGTGCAGCTTGGCTTTCCCATGCCCAGCTGTGTCTGCAGCTGGTGATTTGGAAAGAGAACTCCTTGCTTACAAGTGAGATGCATCTGCTAGCAGGGCTACTTAGAGACACCGAACATTATTTCATTAATCCAGAAATCAATCTCAATTTGGCAGATTCTGTCAAAGCCAGGAGAGCTGCTGAGAGATTCCAAGCCATTAGGTTTTTACCCTTCACGGGAAGGGGGGCATACAAGAGGTTTCACTCCCTGCTGTGGCAGGGAAGGTAGTACCTGCCCCGCTGCGCCGCGTGCTCATGTCAGCCACGTAGGTCCACTCGTTGGTGGCGGGGTTGTACTGCTCCACTGTGCTCAGGCACTGCCTCGATGCCCCGTCGTAGCCCCCCACGGCGTAGAGCTTCCCTGCAACACACACAGCCAGGCTCAGCTGCAGGCACAGCCCGGGGACAGCCCTGGGGACAACCCAAACCCGCTGGGATGTCCAGGGAAAAGCTGGCAAAGGGATCTGCAGCAGGCAGATTAAATTGCCAGCAACACAAGGATGCACCACAACAGCTCCATCAGAAGTCAGCAGCCCAGAGGGTTTTCCAAATTACTTGTTGGCCCAGGAGAAGAGGGATTATCAAAGCATGTCCCCCCGTTCAGGTGTGCTGTCAAAGGCTGTCACTGCACATTAATTACAACACCACATGAGCAATAAATATAAAATAGCTTCTTATAATAATATAATACCTGCAAAGAAACCTAGACATGACTTTGTGGAACTCGAGCCAAATGGAAAGCCAGAGATGGTGCGAGCATAGCTGAGGCCAGCTGGTCACTCATGCCCAGTGCTGACAGGAGTTGTGAGGGTCTGCTGGGGTATCCAGCCCTCCCTGCCTCAACTCACTGACAGCTGATAGACACACACTTACTGAGACCAGAGAAGCACAGTCAGATATCACGGGCCTGCATCATACATGAAACAAGGCTGATGCTCTACTGTGTCCTCTCCCCGTCTCTCCCTGTATCATCTATCAGCTTGTTTTGCATTTAGGCAGTTAAGTCTCTGGGCAGAGAAGGATTCTTCTTACTAAAGCAGTCAGCACAAGGCATTCTGGTTCAAATCCATGTCCCCAGATGCTACAATAAACAACAATTTAAAAAGCACAACAAATATGTAGAAAAATTCTAACCTAAATTTTTGTACAAAACCTAGAAATAATATCAATTCACAATCGATGACAGCACAGCCTGGCCATGAATGAGCTGTGCAATTCTTTGCATGAAGAAGACTCCCACCAGCAGTTATCTTCAGTTTTTGCATCCTCCTGTTTCTGGATGTTTGTAAGGCTCCAAGAACAGGTTGGCTCTTTTCTTTCTCCCTCATGGCCTCCTTCTGCATCTTCCTGTCTCTGAGGACATTTTAAACTCTTACTTGTGCTGTTGGTCCTGCCTGGTATCTGTCAGTGAAGCAGGCAAGAGTGCCAGTCCAAGCAAGACAAGATCAATTTCCCCAGCTGATATAGATTATTAAGTATTTTCAGTATATAATTGATCATCAGAACAGTTTTTGTCACATTCAGAGGAACCCTGTGAATCAACTGCAGGCTGCAGCTTGTTCCCTACACCGGTATGATCAGCTCTTGTGCCCATCACATGCCCTCATTATTTTTATCATGGACTCCAACATATGCAACATTTACTTGTGTTTTCAAAAAAGTAAAGGAAAAGGATTTCATGAGTCTCCAGTAGAAAATCTGTCCACTGAAATGCATCTCTCAGGTCCATATGTAATACTTTTTCTGCATCCAAGCCAGTTGAATAAATTCCAATGACTGACAGCAGCCCAGCACTTCCCAAGCATAGGCCAATTTTTAAGGAGGTGCTTTTTAAATATGCACATTTAAGTTAATGACCACTGCTTATTCTGACTTTATCTCCCTTCTTCTCATATAAACACATTTCATGTACATTAACACGGTCCAGGTACTTCCCACTCAAACAGGTCCAACCAAAGCACTGTAAAGCATAGTTTATGTGATTTATAATAAGGCTTGTGTCAAAGCTGCCCTGCACTGCACTAACAGGAAAGTGCTATGCCACATTAAAGACAAGTTCAAATAAAACCTTTCACTTTCTTCAAAATAGATTTTATAAAGAAAGAAATGGTTCCTAAGTAAACTTTTCATTTTCCTGAGTCCAAACCAAGCTGCTCAGCTCCAGCTCCCTCAAGTTTGGTGCTGACCCAGAGGTACCAGCAGCTGCCACCATCCTCCCAGGCCTCCCACTTCGCTCCAGGCTGCTGCAGCACCAGCCCTTGCTATTGCCAGCCCCTGCTCATTCAGGAACCACAGCAGAGCTGTGCCTGTGTCAATAAACACAGGTTTTAGTATTCCTGCCAAGCCACCAGCTTGGGGCTGTGGGACAAACTCTGTTCCTGTTTCCCTGGCTGAGCAGATTTTCCGTGATGGGTATTCCATCCACGCAGCGTCTGCTGGCAGCAGCAGCACCCACTGCACAGCAGTGCTGGCTTTCACCAGCCAGAACCAGCCCAGGAAGAATTTGGATTCAAAGAAACCTGCACACACCTAATTGCATTCACAGGAGGCATGGGCTAGTCTGATACAGAACTGAGGCTCTTGGAAAGCTACACATGATTTTTCACCAAGATAAAGAGGAGAATGGAAAAAGTTGCAGCAATTGCATCATATAAAATCAATCTTTCCCAAGATTGATTCTGGTGATTTCTGGTGTAGGGAACAGTTCTTGCCATCCCCTCCTACTGCACTTAACCATTCAGGTTTATGTTTGACACAGTAACATTTGCTTGATGGAAATGGCTGCTAATTTTCTTACCCTCCACAACTCCAACTCCAACACTGCTTCTTCTTGTGTTCATGGGAGCCACAAAAAACCACTCATTGGTTTTATAGCTATAGGCCTCAACTGATGCCAGACCTAGTTAAAAAGGGGATACACAGGTTTTCTAATTAAAAAAAAAGAGAAGAAAAAAAGATTGGTGTTGCACTTTCATCTGCCTTCCACCTCCTCCCAAGCCCGTAATTCCCACCATGCTCCTGCAATCCCACTTCCTAATCCCTTGCCTTTCAGGCTGGGACCAGCATGTCAAAGCTACTTTTTCACTGGCTGGGAAAATTGTTACCCCATCACCCCTGCCCTGGGACTGCTGCCTCTCCACTGTGCTGAGGCCACCAAGGTGAGCAGAGTCCAAATTCCAAGCCCAAAAGCCCCACACCCTTTCAAGCATTACAAAACATCCATGCAAAGGTTTAAAAATTCCCCCAAACCCTGCTGTAATAGTTAGTTCAAGCCTTAACCAAGTGGCAGAGCTTTACAGCAGAGGTGTGAATCGAAACACGCAGCTGTGCCAAGATAAATCTCAGGCACTCACACCCTGTAAGATTCCTTGCTAGTATTTTATTCATGTTGCTATGAAAAATTTAACTGAAACAAGGAAAAATCCCTTTTCAGCCCAGAAAAAGCATAATCATACAGAGAATGAGGCTGAAAGAACTGTATCACTAAAGAAAATAACAAGGATGAGATTCTGTGCAATACTGACAGGTCAGAGCACGCACGTGGGAAATTACAACACACACCAAACCCCACTTCTGGCTCCTTCTCTACACAACATTGAGGAAGGGCACAGGAACCGCTCTAAAGCTCTGCAATCTCAGCAGGGCGCTCTGAAAGCACTTTTGTCAGGTCAGTGCCTGGTTTCTGCCCAGTCACCTACCGGTGCTGCCATCAAAGCCGCCCACGGCGTAGAGGAGGTCGTTGAGCACGGCGGCGCCCAGCGTGCTGCGCCTCTCCTGCATGCTGGCTATGGACGTCCACTGGTCCTTGACGCCGTCGTACACGTCCACCGTGCGCACCCGCAGCGAGCCGTTAAAGCCACCCACGGCGTAGACGTTGCCAGCCATGAACACCACGCCTGGGGACAGGGGAGAGGGTGTCACAGCAAACTCTCTGGGAAGCGAGCAGGACCCGTCTAGATCCTGCGGAATGTGTGCGAGGCTTTGGTGGTTTCTGCAGGTTAACAGCGTCGGAGTCGAGCGTGATGAAACATGCGTGTCGTATGGGAGGTGAAATGCACGTGAAAACATGGCAGCATAAGGCACAGATGGAGTTCACACCTGAATGAGTAATTCTGTGAGCCAGAGGGAACACCAAATGGTGAGCCACATTCACAACCCTGTCAGATGTTTTCAGAGGAACACCCCCAACTTAAAGATCTGCTCTCCATCACCTACTCCTCCGCTCCAAGAGGGACTGACTCAGCTCCTTTGATTTTCACTAGGAAGTCAGCAAGAAAAACTGGACCCTTGTAGGCTTCCAAGACAGCAACAGGGGAGGAGGAGAGGAAACACTGATGGAGGAACAGCCAGGAGAGAGAGATGATGAAGGGGAGACAGTGAGAGGGCTGACAGGCAGGAGAAACCCCACTAGAGAGCAGAACATCCACCAGAACAAGAAGGGAAAGATGTCTGTAGGGAAAGAGGAAGAAGGCATGGCAAAAAGAAAGAGCTGCTTGAGGCCAGGGCACAGAGGAAGCTAAAGGGAGGACTAAGGACATCCATCCAGTGCTGAAGAGTTGCATCAGGGAAACAAAGAAGGTTGCAGCAAAAGTTCCCTTTACCTGCTCTGCATCTCCGTGAGGGAAGCTCAGCAACCTGATCCCACCGCTCCTCCTCAAAATCATAGCACTCCACACTGCGAATGGCTTTGGGTGCTTGCCCACCCACCACAATCATCACCTGCAGAGGGAAGAGAAGAGCTAGAAAACTTCAGACACGACCCTGGGCAGCTGCTCTCTGCAGAGAAACCATCACCATAACCTGATCAAGAGCAGCTCCCAAAACATGAGCTGAAGGCCAGCTAGAAGCCTCTGCAAGGACGCTTATTTCAGGCAATTATATTTCACGGTGGAAAAAGTTCTCTCCAATTTAATGCATGCTAAATACGGCCACCCCATTTACCCTCCCTCACTGTGTCCAAGGTAGGCAACTTGCCCAATTTCTCCTTGAAATACAAAACCTCTTGGCACCACAGCATACCCAAGACTCACTGCAAAAGTATTTTTAAGTGAAGAAGATTCCAGCATAATTTCCACTGGCAGCCCACTGTTTAGTCATTATCTCCATGGTGGTGCTAAAAATAATCAATGCCACTCAGCAAATAAAACGTGACAGCTGCGGTGCCACCTGCGGGGAAGGCGACACTCGGGGAAATCACCAGAACTGTTACGACCTGGGGGGTCTGGGCTGCTGAAGGATGTGATTTGTCACCTTCATTAAGACTTTTGGCTGCCACAGGTACTGAAGGAAATGCAGGAATTAAACCCTGAATTCCTTAGAGGTAGGGAAGAGCTATGTCAAGGTGGTCAAGGGTAACTTCAGGAGTGGAAGAACCACTCTGCTGGGTCAGGCTAAGGGTTCATCCAGCCCCAGACTGCACTACCCTGCAACAGTGGTGGAAATTGAGACACACTGCTGGGAAAATGAGAAGACCAAAAGACCTGGGCAGCATGCAGTCCTTCCCAAATCTGTCCTATCTGCTGCCAGAAGATTCCCCATGGACCAGGGTGCCAGGAGCCTACATCGCTGTACTCAAGGGTGCCCATGGCTCTGAGCCCCAGCTGGGCACTGCAAACACCTGCACAGGCAGCCAGCCCCCAAAACACCTGCACTGGCAAGCAGCTGGACCTGCACTTTGTTCAGCACACGTTTCATTCAAGCCTCCACAGCCATCAAGAGGGAGGATTTGCCCCCCTTATCACAGCAAATCAGTGGGACAAACATCACCCAAGACAATCTGATTTTTACAAGGCCAAGGAGCTAGAAACAAGATAATGGGGCTTCAAATATAGATAAAGAATAGTTGGAAAACTGGCTTTAGGCTCTGCAAGGCAGCTGGGAGTAGCTGAGGGGATAAGATCGTCACTTGGGTAACAAACTCAACTCCAAGCAGGGCTGCTTTAAAAGTAGAGAGCTAGACAGCAATTTAAAGAATTTGAAGAGCATGGAAATACTAGCCTGTTTGATCTGCAAAGATGAGACCATGATATTAGAAACCAAATTGAGTCTATATTAACAGCCTGACTAGTAGTTGTGTAACAGTCTCCCATGGCAAGCTGCAGGGCTCCACGCAATTACAGAATTAAGGGATTTCACAGCAGACAATAATCCCTCATCAGCAGGACCAACAGGCCAGATGAAAGTTTCTCAGTAACAGGATTGCTGAAAGATCATCAGCTCCTTCCCTTTCTTCACAGTTCAAAAGAAGGGAGGAGAGACCTGTAGAAGGATTTGGGTTTGTACTCATAGGTCATGCTATAAAAGATGTTGAGAACCTCTGAACTCACTGTTTTGCTGTTCCTTTTATCCTTAACTACTTTAGTCCTTGAACAAGGGCCATGTCAGCCCCTCATGATACCCCCAAAGCTGTGTTCTACCAACTTCATCTCAGCAACAGCAGGCAGAAAGTACACTGCCACATGCTACCACATGCTGCAAAATCACAATTTCTCATTGGAGAGTCCAGTATCCAAATATCAGAAACAGCACAGATCTCACACACTATCCCACAAAGCAACCTCATTATTGTTTGTGCTCAGAAAAATAACACACTGTGGTTTTGATGTCTTGGAATCTCCAAGTGCTTTCTAGCACCTTCAGTGGCAGTCTGCTGAGAGACATTGTGCCAAACTGTGTTTATCTCTGGGGCACAGAGAAAAACTCCTGTGGTGGTTTTTTTCTTCACTAATAAAGTGGTGGCTGGATCATCCCACGCCTGCAGGATAAACGTGGGGAGTAACAGGGATTATTTATTCAGTTGCTGCTTTGAGTCCATTGAAATTCACTTCAGACTTCCTGCCCACGGGGCTGGGTGCTGTTGTTTCCTGCTTTCCTGGCTTCTGATTATGGTTACAGGAAAGGAAGAGACACCTACTGTGACCTTCCATCAGCAGGGCTCCATGACACCAGGCAGCAGCAAGCTCAGCCAGCCCTCCCCGCACTCCAGCAGCCACCAGCCCGCTTGTGGCTGACAAAACCTTTCAAGAGCAGAGATACTCCTTCCCCTAAGGGTTTATCTAAGTTTATTCAATGTTAAATCAACTTAATTATGTTTCCTTGCTGGGCATAGGCAATGCCAGAAGAGGGAGTAAAACACTTTCAAGCACAACCACTGAGTTAGTCAAAAGTAACACAGCAAGTTCTCAAGCTCCTGTCAAAAGACTGAAAATGCCACCAGGAACAGGGGTGAGGTGACATAAAGTGACCAGCTCAGCTTACCTTTGGCAAGCTAACGGGAGTCCTTGGCTTTGTCCTGGGATTCTTTATTAGTTGCCTTTGATCCAGAGGAAGCAAATGATATTTCATGGCTTCAATAAGGAAATCTTTACAGGTGTTGTTATTTTTGATTAAAGCTTCTTCTTCGACTGTCTGAGAACATGCACACACAACAAAGATCATTTACACTGGCACAGGTCACAAGGAGCTTTGTGGAAAGAACATGTAACCTGGAACTTCCCTTCAAATGTACCAACATATAAAAAAAAAAAAGTGCAGGAGACAAACACAGACTTCCAGCTCCTCCCAAAGAAGCACACGGAGCTTCTCACTTTTTTCCAAGATCACTCACAAGGAGTGAGTATTTTATCACCCTCTGCCAAACACTTGAGGCAGCAGAGGAGAATTCACCAGGAGTCTGGATACAAAGTAAGTGATTTCTTTTATCTGAGTCAGAATTTTTAAGGAGAGGCAGAATCTTTTATTCTATTAGAAGATACAGATGAAAGAAAACCAAAACCATGACAGATTCATCTTGTGAATATAGATTTTATGCCAATTGATTTTTTTAGACATATGATAAAAAAGCCCAAATGTCAACCCCTTCTTTGGGAATTCTCAGCTCATTATCTAGGCCGAGATCCCAGGAATTAATTTATGAAGAACAATCTCCAAGTCAGACTGAGTCAGAGAGTGCCTCCCTGCCGGCCACACAGACCCATATGTATGCACAGCACACATCTTAACCACAATTACCACAGATTATGTGTTTCCATTATGATGTTTTGCCTGTGCATGACAGAAAAAAGCTGCACGAGCTTGTAACACCACCACTTCAGTATTTTCAGGGTGAAAAATCACAAGATATTCTCTTATCAATGTTTCCCCTAGAGGGACAGCATCTCTGCTCTCAGCATTGCCTGGCAGAGCATGGGTCCCATTTTCAAGAAGGTTTTTGAAAAGCAGATTGATTTCAGAATCCACTCAGTTTTTGCTTTTATTCTTCTGTTTACAGACTCAGCAACAGACCAAATTACCCATCTTAGACACAAACAGCCAAGCCACTGATTAAGGAGCAACCAGCAGCTTAAGTGCAAGTATTAATGACTTTGCAGACTAACCTGTACCAGGTAATCTCTGGGCAAAAGGGGCAGGCGAACATGTTCCATCAGCTTAGCCATGTGCTCTAAGCGAGACTCCTTCTCATAATTTATCCAAGAGATAACTGCTTCAAAGACCTACACAGATAAAGCACAATTAAATGGGGAAGTGACAACTTCCTTGAAGAGTCACCCACCCAAAATCAGCAGCATAGTGATTTTAGAGCATTGAAGGAAGAGGGTGCAAGATCTCTATCAAACAGATATCAAAAAGCTGTGACTGCACAGAGCACGAGCAGTCCATGCATGCTAACAAGCAGCTTCACATCTAGATGTGCTGTATCACTCCCAGAGCTAAGTGCATGTCCAGAACAATCATACATCTCTTGGACATTAGCACTGGAAGGCGGCCAGGAAACTTAATGAGCCTGCTGACATTTGCACTGGACATTATTCATGAAATCAGCCACAACAATTACTCTCGATAACAGAGATCTCCCTCCTCCAGGAGCCTGGCCACACAGTAAAGTCACTACACTCATATTTAATCACTGCACCAGTTCCACCAGCCCCCAGAAACCAAAAAAAAAAGTCTTGAGGACAAGTTCCCCACACACACAGGGCAAGCCCTGCCTGCAGCCATGGAGCCTCTGCACTGCCTGCTTTGCTAAAAATACTCAGATACTCCAGCTGGGGAACAAGGGCACACTGGGCTTCTGGCCTGAACCAAAATCTAGTTTTCCTTCCAGATCCAGCTGGTTGAGATAAGCATCCAGAGCTGGAGTCCGTGACCAAGTGCTCACGAACACCCCATGGGCAGAGGGATGTGCAGGCCGGGAGAAGCGTCCTGGGTATGAATATGCATGTGCTTATGTAACTGTGAGCCTCACGCACAAAAGAGAGGCCTAAAAATGTCACCGGGAGTGGGAAAGGCTTCCTGAAACACCCGGCAAGGCAGGAAGAGGGGCTGATGCAGTCTCAGATGCTGCACAGCAGGATCTGGATCACTGCAGCTGAGTTTCCCCACAGAGCTAGAATTAAATTCTGACGCACAACCCACACCTACAGGCAACACTCCCCAAGCTCTCTCACTGCCCAGTGACTCAGGGGGGCTGAGCAGAGACCCAAAGTGTCCCGTGCTTCCCCCAAAAACATCCCTGGCCCTTCCCTCCAGCATCCAGGCAAGCGTCCTTGGTTTCAGCTTCCTTCCGGGGTCACCAAATGGTCAGGCCAATTTCCACAGATAATTATTTCTTTCTTTCCATCCTGCCCATCACTCCCCAAGAAACCATTTTGTTTGGTCCAAGGTCACTAATTTGACAAAATCAACCAAAAAATGAGGGCACCATCTTTCAGTCCCCAATTGTTGCTGGTAAATGTATTTGCAGGAGGCTTTGGCAGACACATCCTGCCACAAAGAAGAAGCAAAGCAGAAAGGGGTTTCTTCCTCTTAGGCTAAACTATATACTTTTAAAATGCAGTAAAGCACCAGCCTCATTTCCTGTGCCAACAAAGTTCCTGCTGAACTGTTTGGAATTCAGGACACTGCAATGAGGATTTAAGCAACCCAACAGGGAGCAGTGTAATCAAACCACAGCAAATGCTGAGGAGAATAACCAAAGCAGAGCTTTTAAGTATTTTAAAATTAAAATAAATAAGCAAACAAACATTTTAACTTTGGCTATGAGGCCTTTAAAGTAGAAACTGGGTGTTGTGAGATTTTTTTTTTAATTGTAGATGAGTGTGGAAGGAGGATAAAGCAAACATTTAGCCAACAAACAGGCTTTTCATTAACCTCTTCTGCACAAAGGCTGAGCTGCAGAACAGGTTAAAGGGCTGGGACATACTCAGCTACAGGTCAGGAGGACAGTGAACAATCTAAAGGAAGGTAAGGCAAATACCCTAGGAATATGCACTAGGAATAAGCTGCTTCCTCGGTGCTGGCGTCCACTCCTGAGTCAGACAAGCACTGATGCTTCCCTGCTGTGCCTACTCTAAAAATAACTATTTAAAAAAAAAAAAAAAAAAAAAAAAACAGATTCTGGCACCTTCCATTGGCTCTGATTCCTAATTTCAGAGAAGGGGAAAAGGCTTTAATCCAAGACAGCAATATCTCTATTTAAAGGCCACATCTGTTTCCAGTTCTGCTGTGCCCTCCCTCCTCACGCTGTGCCCGCTGCAGACCCCGAGCAGCTGCTGCTGCGCCCCGGGACCCTCCAGCCATGCAGGACCTGCTGCCAGGGTGGGATGGACAAAGCAGTTGCCCACACAGCTTGATTTAGAGCTGAGGCATAGGCTGAGGTAGCAGCTGGCACCTGCCTGGCTGCAGGATCAGTCCCAAGCTTGGGAGAAGTAAATTTCCCACTCTATGGAGAAGAAGGGTAAAAGCCTGGAATATCCCCTCTCTGCATACTGCCTAAGGAAAGAGCAAGCCCAGATGTTTTCCCAGCCTTTTCAGCCAAAACCCATTTGTTAGAGGCTCACAAGAGTGAGGGCCAAACCTTGCATCAGCTTCTGCTGCATGTCAGCAGCATGAGACAATGAATCAATTACCAGACTCTGAGTAGAATCCCCGGTCCAAAAATCCCAACCCTCTGAAAAATTTCTTTAGCCACTGTTCTGAGTTGGCAGGAGACCATTCTCAAGTCCCCCCACTTCATACATCTTCAGTAAATAACAAATAATTACTATTTTTATATGATTTTTTACTTTGCAAACAGTAAAAAGAGCCAATTAGGTCAGGTACAGAAAACATAAGTAAAAATGTATTGTACTGTACTCAGCTATAGCAAAAAGAGCATGCAGGTACAACAAACCTCTGCCCTTTTCTGAAAAGGCCTGTGCAACTGCAGAGGCTGGTACAACAAGGGGGATAAAAGAGAAAGGAGAAGAATCTTTGAGTGATGAGAAAATGCTGTCACCACTAGACAATTAAAATAGATGTCTGTGCTAGCAGAGAATTTTTGTCATCCTGATGGCCTAGGGGTATAAATAAGCTAAAATTGGTGAAGATAAGGATATATTTTATTAGGCCAATTGGTATTAGTTGCAGAGTGGCAGAGGAAGGGGGAAACAAACAAATTCCTGAGGCATTCCAAGGGCAATTCTCCCTCCCTGATCCTGGCAGGATTTGGCTCTAACACTTCCCAGTAATCCAGGGATGGAAATGCTCTGGCTTACAGGTACAGAACATGTATGAGAAGGGGAACGAGAAAACTCCTTGTGAAATCTGGCTGTGACAATTAAGCTGCCAGATTGCTGAAATATTTTGTACATGCATACATGTGTGTATGTATAGACTGGTATACACACATATATACTTTTATATAATTTGGTTTACAACATGTATCTCAAGCATTAGCAGATAGGAAGAATACAAGTGAGGAAAATGGCTTGTCTGTCATGAAGTTAACATGAAACAGCAGCCTACGAGTCTGTCCTCAAATTCCAGCACTTCTTTGAACTCCAGCACATTTCACGTTTATGTTCCATTCCCATTTTCTGCCTCTCTCCTGTTATTCAAGTCTGTTGTTTTGAACATGCAGCTTGTGCTTACATTTCCTTCCACTGCCTTGTATTCTCAACAATCTTTTCTTTTACAAGTTCTTTTACAGTCAGCTAAAGAAATACTGGGTTTGATTGTGTAAAGCTCAGATGAGGGAAGGAGCATTTTGATTCCCCTGGGCGCAAGGCCAATAAAAGCTTTTGAACAATGCTGCACAAGACTGGAAAAAATTGGTTACTAAACTTGCACTTCCCTTTGCAGGCTGCTTGGCTCAGGCAGAGGGGCTCTGCTGTGAGTTTGTGCCATTTGCTGTTTCCCTTGCTGGCCCTGCCCCAGTGGCACCTCGCAGCCCCCGCCAGCCCCTCGCCTGCGGAAACACGCCCGGAGCCTTGAGTTTGCTGGCTCAGGATCAGCAGGGAGCACCCCTGTGCCTACACCTCACATGGAGCAGGATTTCTGGGGAGTTTTACAGTCCCTCTGGGCCCAAGCACTTGCGTGTCTGCAGTCCAGCGGGGCTGAGAGGACAAGGGCACACAAGGTGAGGATGTGCAGCACCACCACACCCAGGTCCAGCCTCAGCCCACCCAAATGTGGGCATCCAGTAAGAGCCCTGAAGTTACAAACCACACAGCCCTCAAGCTCCTCTGTAGCCTCTCACAAGTGACCATTTACATTTAGGAACATGGATTAGTGGTGGAGCTGGCAGTGCTGTGTTAGTGGTTGGTCTCAATGGATCTTAAATGTCTTTTCCAGCCTTACTGATTCTGTGACTTTACAATCTCCCCACAGTGCCAATTTGGAGATGAGCTGAAGGACTGGCGGCACGTGTCTGTCCCCAGAAACCTGCAGCAGGTCATACAAGAAACTCAGACCAGAGAATGGGGCTGGAGGTGACCAAGCACCATAAACACTGCTTACCTCCTCCCCAGGACTCCAGACTACACAAGGTGTGCCAAACGTTTCAACCACAAACACAGTACCAACCAGTGCCTTTCTTCCCTTTTTTACTAAAAACACTGAAGATACAGAAAAATATTTCCTTCCCTCCTTTTGGTTCTGGGCTTCCTTTCGTTTTTCTCGTCAACATGCAACAGAAGCCAATATTCCTCCCCCACCTAATGAAATTCCCTTTTTTTTTTTGAGGTTTTACAGCAGGTATTAAATGCTTTACACAACAGCAGATGGGAGTTTTCTAGTTTTCCAGAGAGAGAAAGTAGTTGGTTGTAAGCCCCAGGGCTTTTAGTGTGATATGGATCTGAGAGTCATAACTTCCTGCAAAGAACAACCAAGTGAAGGTCATTTTTATGTGCCTCTAGGATTCACATTATTTTAATTTTCCTTTCCACATGATCTCTGTTGGAGAATGGCCCCAAAGGAGCATATCATGATAACAGTTCCTGGTGTAAGATCTAGAAACATGCCAGCATTGTTACATTCACTCTTGCTATACAATTTACTGTACCTTTTCTTCAGAGGAGACTGTGAGCTTGTCACTTGATATTAAACTGCAAACCTGGTCCAGACTAAGGCTAAGAAATTCTTCTCCTAGCATCACCTCAGGGAAGTGCTGCTCTGTTCAACAAATGAAAAGGGGGAACAGAAAATTATAATGAAATCCATGTTTTCAGTCAGTGGAAGGACCACGGCATTCAGAGAACAGCTCTGAGCAGCCAAGACCGACCCACAGCAGCTGTGAGTGGAACACAGGCAGAAACCAGCCTCAGAGCAGGATAAAGAAACCCAACATTATTTCAAGCAACACCAGCTCCATGAAATACTTTCATAAATGACACTAAACTTTCTGAAAAGCCACTGAGAATATTCCAGTGGCAAATACAGTTAGAAATGGAAATTGAGACAAGAACCAATGTCCAAAGTAGTAAATAACCTGGCCACCCCAGCATCCACCTTCCCAGCAGTTTACCCCTTTCCACTTCAGCCTGCAATTGTACAAATCTCTATTTCTCCCTTTTTTGCCTCCAGATCCCTCTATACTGTAACTCTGGGAGCCACTTGAAAACAAAAAGCATGAATATAACCTCAGACTGGAAGAATTATGACTGAGCATCATCAAATCTGTCAAGCTTTATATCTAGCCAAAAGGCACACAAAATAATCACTTCCTAAAAAATAATTTCTAGGTCAAATATGTCATTAGCCAGCTGCAGCAATTTTAGTTTTGCAAGAATTTCTTACATATACTGCCAATTTAATCTCACCTGTCACTTGCTAAGTCCCATTTATCTTTGGCTGAATTACAGAAACATGAATCTCAGGCACTTTATCTGAAGCAGCTTCTTTCAAGTTCTAATTCTGTAGCTTTGAGAAGCTCAGACCCCTCTATCCAAAAAGCTCTCTCTGCAGCAAGATCTGCCTTGAGTTTTCACATCTGCAAAGTGCTTTGCCTGACAAAAAGCAGCACCACAGGGACATGAGCTGGCCTAACTTACAGAGAGGAGGTTTTGTGAGCCCCTGAACAACCCCTCATCAAAGCTGTTGCTGCAGAGTTGGACTCTGGACTTGGACTCCCCAGTCACAGACCCTCCTTGCTCTGCTGAGGACCAAAACCCCACAGCTTAGCCAAAGGCTCTGATTAAAAATAGCAGAATGTGGATAAAGTTTAATATTCGGTTATGCTGGAAATATATGTATGATCTAATGACCTCTTTAGGCCTTAAATATTTAAGAGGCAGGAAACACTCCCCACACAATAAGCTGGATGCACTCTGACTTCTGGGCAAAATCTCATATTCATTCATTCTGGACTTGCATCTGGCAGAAGAAAGGTATTTGATCTCTCGTTATTAGTTGGAAGCAAAGGAGAATATTTACTGATTTTAATAAAGGAACTGGTGCCTGCATCAAGAAAGCTCCTTCACCTACTAAAGTTATCCATTGGCCAGAACTCAGCATTTCTCAAGTAACTGAGCTCATACATGCATGGACTCTTGAGCTTGGGGACTTCTGTCTTGGTTTAAGGCTGTTACATAAACAACACAGTGAAAAGAATTTTAATGGCATTTTTATTAATGGAGTTCCATTAACATTACATGGGCTGCTGTACTAACTGGGACCTATGAAGGCCAATAAAACAACAAAGCAGACCTTCTAATTGCCAAACAACCAAATAAATATACAGTGAATGCACTGCTTGTTGGGTTAAAGATTAAACAGGGCCTGGAAACAAGGATAATGAGATATTACAAGCAAGCTTTTATAAAATTAACCATTCCTTCCAGGGTACCTTTTCCTCCAGGGGATAATACAGCCAGAGCAGCTGAAAAGGTTTTAGTTTTATTTGCAAGAGAATAGGCGAGGACTCAATGGGTACATTTTGATTCCACTGAGCCTACTTATGGTCCAATTAAGGACAAAACTGTTAAAAAGGAAAATGTTGCAGGACAGAGCAGGTGCTCTGGGAAACAGCAGGTGTATGTGTCCCTATACAAATTATCAGAAAACAGAAAAACAAACTGGGAGCAAACTATTAGCTTCTCCCAAGCAGAGGTCAAGGGCAACTCTGCTGGAGGAGACTGGAAAGTGCTGGGGAATTCAAAGCTTGGGGCTGGCTGAAAAAGCTTTACATTTATGATGTAGAGGAGAAATGCTGAAAGCCATTGCCTGCACCTACTTATTGCAACCAAACACATCCACTCCCAAGGAAACATGAGCCTATCCTCCCTTGGGGCAAGGGGCCTTTGCTGCACAGATCAGAGCCTCAGACTGCATGGCAATTTTAGCTGAGTGTTCCAGCTCCCACCCCCAGGATTTAACTTGGCCCAGAGCTGTTCATTCCCACACTGGAAATGCCCAGCAGTGCCTGCTGCTCTCCCAGGCAGGGTCCATGGAGAGGACACAGCACCAATGCTGAGCTGTTCAACAGCACACCCAGAGCCTCTGTGATCACAGTCAGGAGCTGTTCTGTGGGCTGAGATCCAGAGGATCAGCCTTTTTTACCTCCTAAACTCCTCCTTTTTTACCTCCTAAGGTGCTCCCCTGCGACCAAACCACGTTTCACAACTTGCATCATCACAGAAAGTCGCAAGGCCAGAGCTAAAGAATGCGTTCCCTTCCTGCTCTAAAAGCAGAAGTCTGGAGACAGCAAGCAGGAGGTGCTGAGGCTCGGAGCTGCTGCCAGGGAGCAGGGTCAGCTCACGGGCAGTCCCCTCACCTGCGTAGGCGTTGGCCTGCTGCAGCAGCTCGCTGCAGGCGTGCACGTCGGCAAAAGCGCGGATGCCGAGGCAGTTCGTGGGATGCAGCTGGGACTGAAGGAAGTCACAGCAGTTCTTTCTAACATCCATCAGTTGCAATAAACTGGCAGCTGGCAACAAAACCTGCAAAGGCACGAGAGGGGAATGAAAGTGAGTAACAAGGAGTGATTTCACAGCTTGCACAAACTGGAGGCAATTCCCTTCCAGACAGGGACATATCCCTGTGGGGTTATGAGAGGGAAGGTTCAACTCTTAGCTCTAGCCATATGCAGAAGATCCCTGTTCATGCTCTGAGACATGAAAATAACTATCCTGCACTGGGCTATAAGTGGAACTCTTCTCACAGCTTCTCCCCACAAGACCTCAAGGCAAAACGAGGACAAGGTAGAAGCAACCATGCTTCTGAATGCTCCTGAATTTCTGGCTTTGTTGCAGGTAGGTCCTGCACACAGATTTTTATTTTTTTTTCCCAAAAAGCTTTATATTATTTATAAGCATTGCCACCAGATTCAAAGCCCATAGCAGCCCAACAGTCCTCAAAACCCTGGACTTTGTTACTTCCAACAAAACCTTATTGGCTTGGACTAGTCCGGCAGAGCTTGTGAGGAGGATGCCCAAGCAGACATGTAAGAGAGGGGGTTCCCAGAAGCTCAAGCAGGTTTTGATGACAGCAAGGCTCTCGGGAAAGATAGGTCCAACTATTCAAATCAGCAGCTCTCATTTGCACTTACACAAAATGCTGGGGACATTTGTGGATCATGGCTGCATCTGAATATGAGGTACTGCCTTGCACCTCCAAAACCAAGCACAGAAAAAGAAGACAGAAATGGATGACAAATTTGACATCTGCTGGAAAAAAACACTTTTGGGGTCAGCAAGGAGGACAGGAAGTAGAAAACAAAATCCATCAGGACATTACAGCCTGTGACATCAGCTACTTCCTTTATTATTTCCAACAGCAACTGCAGACGTGTCTTATTCCAGCTCTTTCATAGCTCTGGCTGCCTCACACATGTCCTTCCAACTGGGCATCTGTGCTCACCATCTGAGCACACATTTCCGGAAAGTTATTGCCAACTCAAAAAAAAAAAAAAACAAAGCAGCTGTTAAACAAAACAAATAGGTTAACAGCATTACCTCCCTGGATCCTGATGGCAGCAAAGGGATAAAGATGGTGTATCCCTGTCCCTGCCACCACAGTCCCATTTCACACCAGGGCAGGACACTCAGAGCCTGCTCCAGGTCTTTCTAAGCAACTGACGTGTTCCAGTCCAGCCCAGCTGTACAGGGGCTGACTGCTGCCAAGCAGCCACCCCAACAGGCAACAATAAAAAGAGAAGTCAATTAACCCAGGAGCCTGTTTTGGCCAAGCCTCTTGATGCAGGAGGAGATTAGTTTGTGGCTTTGATTAAGTCAAGATAGCAACGCCCTAGGATTTTGAAACCTGGCTGTGAACCATTTTCTTTCTAGCTGAACCATTTCTGAACACTTGAGCCACATAAGGGCTTTGGCTAGCCAAGTCAGACTCCATGCAAACCATCTCTGGCTATAGACCAGCCAGAGCCTCCGCTGTGCAGCCCATCCACCCAGGATGCATCCCTGCCAGTGCAGGTGGGCTGCTTACCTCTGCTGCCTGGGATGTGGCCTCAGACCAAAAGGAGCTCACTGCCATCCCCACATGCACCAGCCCCTGGACAAGCCAGTGCTGCTGTTATGGCCTGTGCTGGCTTGAAAAGCAGTGCAGAAGGAGCCTTACATCACTTCAGCCATCAGGAAAGGGGCACTATCATACAGCACTTCTCAGAAACAGGATATACAAAAGCCTATCAGGAGATGAGGGGATTTTCTCTTTCTTATTTCCCAGCTGAACGCCTCAACACTCATCTTGTTTTTACCAGGGAAGGCAAAAAGCAAGCAAAGGATTTCCGTGAGAACAAAATCTGTTTCCTTTAGAAATAACAAGAGGAAATGCCCTGCCTAAACATGCAGCAGGACCAAACTGCAACCCCATTAATATCCAGGCAAGTTACTCATATGGGTCTGGATTTGGCTCCTAATATTTGAACTCCAGCAGCCATGAACGATTTTGTGAGAGCTGGCTTCTCTACAAGATCTGCCTCCAAATCAAAACCCACTCATTTTTTTGAAACTATATCAAAATTATCAGCTTTAACTACTGAGACTGGCTTCTTTGCTTAATTTATGTCCAGAGCTTCATCTATGGGGTGTGTGTCTGGAGAGATATACATATATATACATATATATATATATCCAGCTGTGCTCTGCAGACTCCACACAAATTTCAAGTTTTACACAACATTGTCTGGGCAATTATTTCCATAGACCTTTGATGTCTCTAAACTAGAAACATCTTTCAGCCAAAAGTGCTCTGTATATATAAGGTTCATTCATTAATGCTGGACTGCAGAGGCTGGGGTTAGTTCCCTACTGTGACAGAGCTTACAGGTAGCCTTGGCCAAGAGTTAACCTGCATTGTTCCTGCTCTGCAAACTGGGAAAGGAGCATTTCCCCTAGGCAGGGGATGTATTAAAGCTTATAAACAGCTTTGACAATTTGGTTAAATTGGAAGCCAAATAAAAGTACTGGCTGTAAGCCTCAGCTGCACATCCAGGGCCACAGGTGGGACTGCACATCTGCCCAAACAGGGAGACAGCTCCCAGGCACCTGCCCAGGGGAACCCGTGACCAGAGAAACAAATGGATTTTGTGCTTGCAAGGCAGGTAAAATCAGTTTTTAACAAGCTGCTCTGAACAGCACAAATAGTGGAGATAAAACTACATCAGCATAATGTGGCTTTTGAGTGCAAGGGTGGCAATCAAGCTTTATTACACCCCAGCTGCTCCCAGGCAGCACATGGGCTCAACAACAGTACTTCCACTGAAATGCTGCACCTGAGGTGAAACAGCCCAGACAGAGGAAGGTGTGACAGCATCAGGGAGTCAAAAACCATTGTCAGGAGCAGGAGATGGACAAAGGACACAGAGATGAGCGAGAAAAGAAGGGAACAACTGGCAACTTCCCTCCTGAGCTACCTTCTCCAACTTCAGACACACCACCCCTCAGTTAAACAGTGAAATAAAGTGAACATGTGCATCAGGCACAACGCAGTGCTCTGGTGCCACATCCACAAGTTTCTCCTCAGCTTTCTATTAGGCCAAGTCAATTTAAAAGACTTCCTATAGGTTTAAGGAAGGGCCCCCAGCCCAAAGGAGTCAGCCCTGCAATGGACCAGGGACCCCTGCAGCCCAGGGAGATGCACAGCAAGGAGCTTTGGCTCCAGGGAGGAACACAGCCCTAATTTATTGCTGAAAGATGCTGTGCCTCACCCTGGGCTTGCACCTACTACTGCTGCAGCTTTTGGACTGAAGAGGGGGAAGAAAGATGGACTGACTGACCCATTTATAAACCTTTTATCATCAAAAGTGCACTTGCCAGAGAACTCTCTTTCCTTGCTGTGAACTCCTAATTGTGCAGGGAAAGCTGAGGTACAGAAATACTTCTGAAACAGAAATATTGCAGCTCCTAGCAATTCTTTTTTCCTCTTTTCTTGAGACATTTTTTATGACAATTACTATGGCTGCAAAGCTGACAGGTTCAACATCTACTTCCTCCAGAGAGCTGAGTTCAGATTTGTTCTCTGTGTATCAGCCATATCTCAAACTGTGGCAGTACACAAGGACACCACACATGTGGTCCGTGGCACATCATTCCTAACAACTTAATTGTGAAACCAGGTCAATCAGGACTTTTTCCAGGGAATTACATTACAACCTGAATGATTATGACTTTCTTAATTGGGAGAGCACTTCTCAGGCTGCCTGCCAGTAATGAAGTGTCACAGGCAAGGCTGGTTGGGACACCCTAAGGAGGGACTGTATTCACTGTTAGAGCCAGAGGTCCAGGCATTTTCCCAGGACTGCCTAGGACAGGGAAGGATCTGCTCCCAAATCTCTTCATTCAGCTCTGCTTAAGCACACTATGAATAGCTTCACCATCACTGAGCCAACAGGTTTGATATGAAATTGGAAAGCAAGCAGCAATGTAACCACTTCAGCTTCAAAATCGAGACATATTTGAAAAATCCAGGTAATTAATATGTTAAAAGCACCAGCTATCCCTCACATGTAGAGAGCAGCAGACCCTGTGCTTATGTTTATGTGTGTTTACGATTTCCATTGAGATCAGTCAGGAACCTGAGCATCTGTGAAGTTCCCCAAGACACTCACTTTAATTTTCCTTCCTTTTACAGAAACTGCATGACACAACTTCCTTCTAAATAAATGTATCAAGCTCCACCTTCAAATGAATGAGGTCTTTATATCATGCATATCAAAATTTACAACCAACCTTGATGTGGGATGCAACAGAGGAGGAACAACAGAAGGCAGCAGGTGTACAAATCCCAGGATGGATTTTCCTGAAACTACAACACGACTGCAACAAAGACAGAAATTCTGTCTTTGCTCCATGCCTTCCAAACAAGTGGGAGGCTTAATCCCAAATACATGTTCACAGGTAAAACTTCTCTATCATCCATCATCCCTGAGCCCTCCTACTGCTGCACCTATATTGCCTTGGAAGTTCCAATAGATAAAGCGCGATTGCATTTGTTGGGATAATTCTCACCCATGTACCCCAGCAGGGTTAGAAGAGAGTATTCCCTCCACACGGGCTCAGGATGAGCTGAAAATCCCCTTTGCCTGCACATTTGGGACATAATCTTGAGCAGGAATTGGATGACCACCCCCAGGAACTCACTACATAGATGATGGCTTGAACTGACTCGTACAGGCTTGGCCCCTGGTACACATAACTATCCTTACATAAAAAAAAACAAAACAAAAGACCCTGTGTCATTTCATTGTACAATCAGCTACAGAAATATGTGCTTAGAAAAAGAGTCTCACTTCCTGAGCCCATAGAAGGCCTATAAAAGCAAAAAAAAAAAAAAAAAAATCACAGGTTTCCTTTAGAAAAGAAACAACAAAAGAAGTTGTTAAAAGGCTTCTTTTTGTGAAGGGCTGGGTGCTGCTCAGCATTCAAACACACTTAGGAACATTCATTCTGCACTCCATGTTACCTTTGCTGTTCATCTTTTTCTCAGTTCTATCCTGCTCTGATCTTATTTTTCTCACTGCCAAGACAGTGTCTTTTCATTTATTCACAAGTTTTGATATCTTGGTTGCATCTGCTCCGTCAATACCATTGAGAAACCTTTTTTTCTTTTCATAATTTCTACAATGACATAACCTGGCACCTGTACCCAGAAATTGCTTCTTCCAGCTACTGAGATAGTCTGAAGAACTCCTTTCAAAAAGCACCCTTGCCCAGCTAGAGATCCAGAACATATGACAAGGAAACAGGAGAGCTCAGGAGATACCTGCTGGGAAAAGAGAAAGTCTCACTGTGCTCAAGCAGGGCTGCAAAAAAATATTCCTAAAACAGCACAGACAGGCACTACTGTCTGTCCTTCCAGATGGAAGCATGGATGGATGGGTGGATGGATGACCCAAAGCTGTGCAGCAGGAGGATGTGGTGACACAAGGGACCAAACCCGCTCACTTCTTTCTATCACTGACACTGCTAATTCAGATTAGAAGACTACAAGGGCTTAATTTTTGTTGTTTTTAGCCCTCCCTTCACGTGAAACTTTCCAATAAATCACAGAATATTCACTTCTGTAACCTTTTCTTCTTGTGGCTAAAGGTGAATATTAACCTGTTTATGGCATTTTGTTCAGAGTAAAACACCCAGGGACAGGATACAGATTTCTGTTTCTATTGGTTTCATAACACAATTAAATTCCATTAAACATTTTCAGCACAAACACTTTAAACATGTAATAAAATTTAAACTAGTCAGTTAATCTTGCAGTAGATCAGCTTCATTTCTTAGCTTCTATGAATTAATTTACCTCTACCCTGAAGAGTTAATCACAGAGTGGATATTGAAATAAATGCTGCAGTAGAAGGACCTACTTTACTAGACTGGGGGAAAACACTTAGTATTCAAAACTTTCTTTTTTTATCTTACTGTCTGAGAGATGAAAGCCAAAATGTAGCCAGGGATCTTCTTTAACTCCCTGTAATCCCTGGGCCACAGAAGGCAGGCTTTGGTTATGTTTTACTAAAATATATGGCTGTCTAGTTGCTCAGGAAAGGCAACACCTGGACTTTCACAGACTTTTTGGGCAGGATGGGGCTGTCTCTCCAGCCTGCTCACAGCCTGGTGCAGCTGGAGCACCAAAACTCTCCCCTGGGAAAGCAGCGGGGTCACTGCCCGAGCCCCATCCATGGCAGGCTCATCAGATGGGATCCCAAGCTCTGCACACCCCACGTGCCAAGTGGGAGCTTCTGGAGCCCAGCAGCGTGGAAGGAAAGGACACCTTTCATAAATCACATGGATACAGCCTCCATACTTCCCACAGAAACAAGGACATTTACAGCCCAAGGTGTGTAGATGCCATTTCTCCTCCAGCAGTGGGAGATCCCAGAGGTGCAAGGAGCTCCCCCCCAGTCCCCCACTGAGTGATGTGGTGCCAGCTCCTGATGATCCCGCTGTGGGTCACACAGCAGAGCCAGGCCAAGGCACCCACAGTGGGGTTTGAGGCCCAGCTCCTTTGCCATGGGGCACCTCGAAGGTCTCCTCACTGATGGCTCCCAGCCTCACTGCAGGGCAACCAGGCTCTACACTCCTACACTGTGACACTGCCAGGCTGAGAGCACATCAAACAGTCACTCTGGTAAAACCAGAGGGCAGAAGGGACAAGAAAAGACCCCCACAGATTTAGGTCACGAAGGATGGCGAAGGGCTGCACTGCAAAGCGGGACCAGCTCAGGGGTTTGGCCAAGCTCCTGGACAGGGCAGCAGGAACCTGCACTCTGCCTGAGGGCTCAGAGCAGAAGAGCTCACAGCAAGAACCTTGTTTCAAGCAGAACCAGTCTAATTTTGCTGTGTTAATTAGGTCAACAAAACTCTCCCCAGCATCACTGACACAGACTTGCTCCCCTGGCAATGTCCAAGTCAAAGCGAGGAAGACAATGGGCTCAAACTGCCACTTGCAAACAAAACCGGACCACCTGAAAAACTGAAAAGCACGTCCACACACAAGCTCTCAGCATCCCTCCCAGACATCAGTGGCTAAGTGCAGAGCCTTTTTCTTACCACAAATACAAGCAGAGTCAAAGAAAGACCTTTACCAGAAGCCACAGCCACGTGACACTACAAAACACTCTTCCTGAGCACCTTGCTTTATTTGAAGGCTGCCTTTCAATTACTCTTTCCACTTCTGAACAAATATTTATCTCTCAGAAATTCAAGACAGAGCAGACACACACAAAAAAAGGAAGAATGTCCTCATTTGAACAATGTATTCCACTCAAAGCTCTGTGAAACAACTCAAACTACCCAGAAGAATTTAAAAACTAACAGCCACATTCCTCTGCCATGGCCTTAAAACATTTGACTCACTGCTTGTTTGAGTCTATTCTGACCTTCGACAGACTGACCCACAAGTCAGCACATCTTCTTGGAAGGCAGATGCCTGCTCTTGTTATAACAACTCCACACAAAAGCTAAATGCAACATGACTTAAGCATGGGGAAAGCACTAAAGTGCCTCAAGACTAAACAGAGGCTGGAAGGAGCTCTTTTCAAGCTCAGCCTTTTACCTTCTGCAGCCTGAGGAGATCCCTCACCCCCGAAGAACCTGTGCCTTTGAGTTCCAAGCCTTCCTCTTGGTTCTCCACAGGAGCTGCTGAAGCAGACCCACCTGCACATTCTCCTCCGTGACCTCGATCTCAGCGGTGTAGATGTAATCAATCAGCTTCCTCAGGGTCTGCCCATCCACATCTTTTATCTCAATCTTCTTGGCCTTACTTTCAGACATGTCTCCTGAAATTCATTTCAAAAGGACAGTTACAGTTTGCTCTGCAGGACCTTGCTCCCCACACATCCAGCACATTCTCCTGGTGTCTGACTACCAGACTGCCTGGCACTATCCCTCACCACTGAAGAACCACCAGTGAGCTTCTCAGAAGCCTCCTAATGCCACCTAAAAGCAACTCAAGACTGAGGACACTGGTGTAAAACAACATAAATCAATACATGCAAAAAACTCAATTTCTTGACAGAAAAGAACCTGCCATGGTTCACCTGCATTCAAACAAATATGAGCTAAAAATAAACCCCCAGTATGTCCCTCAATCATGTCTCAGAACAGGGATAGACTCAAAGAGACTGAGGTGTCTCACAAAGGCCTTTGAGAAATATATTTTTATATCTATTTATTAAAAATATATTTTAAAATATATATATATACATATGGATAGAATGAATATGAATGAGTATGAATTAATATGTTGCAACAGCTACATTAGGGTATTCTTTTTGTATACCCTACATTAAAAGCAATGCAGTGTTTTTTAGAAAAAAGCTAAAACCTGCTCAGAAAAACAAGCACACAGGCCAGCAGTTACACCCAGCATGCAGCAAGCTTCTCTCCTAAATTACCCTGCTGTAAGCTATCCATCACTTACACCTTGTGCAAAGCATCCACACAGAAAGATGCAGTTCTCATCTCTCACCTTCCCAGCATCACACCTTTGGATCCAAACTGAATCCCTTCCCCAAACCCACAACTCAAAACCACCTGGAACTAGAGCAATAATTTCCTCCCTGAATACACAAGTAAAGCCCCATAGCTGTGTAAGAGCCTATTCATGACCCAGAGCTTTGTGCACACCTCCACACTCCCCGTGCAACAGGAGCACATCAGAGGAACAAAAACATGCAGTGGGGAGGAGAAAGGACTCCCCATGGCCCTTCCAACAGGGTGACCTCACCCAGGAGTTAATCACCAGGATCTCCACAGAAAAAAACAGAACAAACTCCCAAGTGGAAAGAAAATGATAGGTGGAAAAACAAAGCTAATCAAAGGAGAGCATGAAGAAATGTCAATTCTTAAACCTGGGCATGAATAATCACTACTCTCAGAAATCCGGTGACTCAGTACTGCTGTGGGATTAAGTGGAAAAATATTTCCTGCAGCCTATAGAAGTAATTACAGCCTACACCTCCATGCAGCATTCCACAGGACGTGGCCAGGCACAGTAAGTGCACAGCACAGAGTCAGATGCTAAAGAGGGCCCAAGCTTGAGCAAAACCTGGATCCTGCTAATTGAACTTTGCTGACTTTCCTTATGTGAATAACAAGGTAAATAATAGGAGTGGGGTGGGACCATGAGTGTTAGAACAGTCAACAACGTCCCAAGAAGTGAAATAATATTTGCTCCAAATTCAATTTTTAAAATTGAATAATAAAATGTTATTCAGAGAAGCTCATGAATACAAATGTACCAGTACAAAGGAATAAATGACCTACATTTGGGAGGCCTTCAAAGCAGGTAGGACTTTTTAATTGACAAAATGTCATCTTCACACACTTCCTCAAAACCCCAAAGATCTCTGGAGATGAAAGGGTGCTTCTCAGGACAGCTGGGTCCCCTTCAGCCCTGTGGTGCTGGAGGTGCCTGTAAGGAGCACCCAGCGAATCCCCCTGCATGGGAGGGTCAGTGGGGTCCCCAGCCCTGCAGGACCCTCGGCATGGGGAGGGGCTCGGCCACACACACCCAGAGATGGATGCAGAAATAGCTTGGAGGGACCAATCTGATCACATCATCTGTCATGGTGGCATCCATGTGACACAAGCAACAAAAATAAAAGCTGTGTGGGCTTCCCCACCCACCAGCAAGCTGCCAGCCCTGCACACTAACAGCTTCCTCTGGCTCTGCTGCGGGACCAGCCCAGGCACCTCCGGAGGGAGACTCGTGTGCTGTGCCCACAGCAGGACAGGATCCCACAGGAGCCATCCTGCCCCTCCCTTGTCACAGGGGCAACAAGAGCCTGGAGACACCACGACTGAACCAAGGCAGGGGTTGGTGCAGGCCAGGAGCAGGCAACAGGGTGCCCCTTCCTCCAAGCACAGAGCCAGGGCAAGCCTCTGGAGCAGCCTGGGGGCAGCTGAGTGCTGGATCATTGAGGGCATCTCATCTCACATCTCTCTTCAGAAGAAAAACCTACACCTTAAACCCTACAAAACACAATTTATAGGGAGTCTTTCATAAGTTGGACTCCAGCCCTAGCTGAAAGCTTAATTACAGAATAATTCAAACCACTAGCATCTCTCCCACGTGAGAAAGGGCTGCCTTGCACGTGGCACTGCACAGAGCCGTCCCTGCAGCGCTGCAGCCAGGCAGACACAAGGGACGAGGTGAGAGGGAGCAAAGGCAGGCAAAACAGGCAGGGTGGCTCTGGGCAGACCTCTGCAGAGGACAGACTTAGCAGACACAGCCCCTCATGGAGGCATTCCTTTCCTGCACCACACTCAACACCCAGCAGTGCCTTTTCTGCTCCCCTCTGCTCATCAGGGCAAGAAGAGAGCAGAGCTCTGTTTTATCACAAGACAAACCACACTCCACACTGCAGCAGCCCACAGTGCTGTGTTTACCCAGCACAGCAGCCTGCTCTGCTCCTACACGTTGCATTTCCCAGTGCAAAGCCACAGCTTTGGCTGTTTCCTAAGTCACAGATGTGCTGAGGGAGCATATGAGTGTGTTGGATAGCAAAACCACAGCCTCTCACACATGGGGTGAGTGCCTTGAAGTAGCACATAAGCCCTGCAAAGGAGGTTTCTGCTTCCTTCTTCAGCACTTCCAAAATTCCTAAGGTATCTGACAGGAGCAATCCTAGCAGTGTCACTGGAGTATTTGTTACCCTTTCTGAAACGATTGTGTTTTCTTCTAAATGGACAGAAATTACTGTCCCAAATCATCCCCGCAGAATACTGCCAACGATGACCAACATCCAAAATGTTCTAGAAAGCCAGCATGGAAAGGGACACTCAGGAAGTGCTGGTCCCATCTCTCCTTCAGCAGTGGAAGATACAAATGGAAAATGTGCCCACCCATTTTCAGACTTTTCAGGAGTACTTCAAAGAGGAATGGCTAACCAGAGGACATACATGGCTAAGGAAAGACCCCAAGGTCATCACAAGGTAATTCATGGCTCTAAAGTCAGGGCCAGCTGACAGATTCAGAGCCTGCAGAGCAAGCAGTGATGAAGGTGGATGAGCTGTGGGGCTCAGTGTGGCTCCCACTGCTCACAGCTCCACACTGATCACTCACTGCTCACTGCTGGGGGACTCCTCCAGTGGCAATTCAGTGTGCACAAGCAGCTCCTGCAAATACCCCCACAGTGCAGCTGAACCTGAGCCCTTGGCTCTATCACTGCTGTGCAGTACCAAAAAACCAAGTTACAACAACCAGCTCGTGCTGAAGGTGTGATTTTAAACTCGCAGGGAGTGAACCCCCATGCAGCTGGAAGGAGATCACACACTCTGGCTCCATGAGATTCAGACCTTAGGAATTTGGAGATAGCTAGACTGAAAGCAAAGGGAGAGCTGATCTTTGCCTGACCCTCTGCCCCCGGGGACCTGTCAGGGGGAGGGGACAGGCGGCTGAGGCTGTCACCCAGCCCAGGGGAGCTCTGGAGCCAGCCACATGATGGGTTAGCTGATTACTGTTTAACCCACAGAGTGAGGGATTACACGGCCCAGAGAATTCCTGCATGGAAACATGAGCAGCCCTGCACCACCACCTTCCCACTCAGATGACCTCTAAGGATCAGAGGGTTTTTCCAAGGGTTTTTCTTTATTAAACTCTTCCTCAGGGACAAGTATCACAAGTTGTGCTTGAGGTGCCCTCATGCACAGCTGCTTCTGAGCAGCGCTTGCTCCTCTGCCTCACCACTGCAGACAGTCCCAGCTGCAGGGTGCAGCACCCCAGGAAACACAAATGCTCCCCACCTTCGCTCACCACACTGATAAAGGGAGTGTCACATCTCGCCTCACAGTTTACACCTGAGGTTTTCTCCCCACCTCCATCACAGAAGAGGAAAAAAGCTTCACTAATGACAAGGTCTTTCCTGAGAAATCCTGCATTCTGCTTCCAGCAAAATGAATTAAATTAGGTCTAATCTCAAGACTTTTAAAAGGAAGAAACAAGGCCCAGACCACAAGCAAATGAACATGAAACAGGGAAAAAAACCCTGAACCTCATTTATGTTGGAGCTCAGGGGCAGTAAATACCATTCCCTGGGGTGTACAATAATTTTCTTGTATTTGTCAGTTCCTATCCTGGAAATGAGGGCAAATAATGGGAAGGAAGCTCAGGAGTTTCTGACCACACTAATTTTACTAGAATGACTTAAATAAGCTGCTCACTCCCCTCCTTCATGACTGACCTATCTTTCTTGGGGGTTTTTTTGCTGACCCATCTAGGCACAGCCTTTGAAGGGCACCTGCTCCAGGGGTTAGGTGATCAGAGCAGGAATTTTGTCCTCTTCTTGCTTTCTGTCATTACCAAAACACACTGGACTGCAGCAACTCACCCTGTTAAAAAGCTGGGCTGCTAAAACACACTGGGATCAAGAGAACAACGGTGTTATTTCAGGCAGCAGAAAAAAGTGCCATGGGAGATTAAACATCTGTGGCTGCCAAATCAGTATCGGCAGGACTGAGCCTTGAAACTACAACTCCTGTGCCAGCAACTTCTTTGATGTGCACCATGAACATTTAGGGCACTGAACACGTGCTCGATGGTAATGTTTTCATGATCCAAGGTCTTGTTAGGGGAAAAAAAAATAACTCATACAGCACTGAGCCAAATACACAGTAACCTCACAGTGCCCCACATGCTATCTACTCACCCCACAGGAATTAGTCAAGGATGACCAGCACCATCCATCAAGCACAGCAAACTGCAGAGCCACCTGTGCCCCTTCTGTCTCAAGGAAACCCTCTCCAGCCTGTGCTGCAGCTCCTGACAGAGACACAGCCCGAGGGCTGGGGACAGCAATGGCCCGTTCAGCCCAAACACTGGCTGGTGTGACAAGCAGTACCTGTAAACATGGCACAAAAATAAGGGCTGCAGGCTGCCAGCACCACCCGGTGAGCTTCCATCTCCACGCTTTCGGCCACAATCACCACATCACACAGGAGCCGCTTGCTGGGAAAACACCAGAAAAGACAAAGATCATTTCAGAATTCCCTGTCAGGCAAAAAGCTACATCACCACAGCCCAAAAAAGTGGAAGACCCACCATTACAGAAACAGCACCTGAGCTTCTGCCAAATCCCAGGGGAAGGTCCTCTAATCCTCAGTACCAGCTCCTATCACTGTTTGCCTACAAAGCAAAGTCTGAATCCTCCTGAGGCTGCAGCCCTGCCTGTGTTTCTGCTTTCCCCAGGGAAAAAAAAACCTGGAAGCCAAATGAGGCATACATGCTGCTCAAAGAACAAAGGGTAAGCAGCTCCCTCACCTCTCAAACAAGCAGGGCTTGGAGGAGGCACAGAAGAGCGTAAGGATTTGGGCACTACCTGGGGTCAGGCTCTAGTAGATCTGTAAGACAAGAAATAGCCATGCAAGGAACACCAGCATCACTTTTGTCTTTCCACAGGGAAAAGGTGGAGTGGAAAATGAAGTGATTTCTGTACTTCCTTCCATGCTAGCCACTGAAGAAAGTGGCCACCAAAATACGTCCTGGCAGTGGTAGGTGCAGAAGCTGCCTGAGGCCTCTGCCAGAGCAGAGGTATCAATCACTGGAGTTTATCCATGGGCCTGAGGACTTCATTTACCTCATAAAATAGTCTGGGATTAAGAGTCACTAGGATAAAGAATGGGGTTCCAGACAAAAACCCAAAAAAAAAAAACCTTCTAAGCTCCCCCACTGACTCACTGTAGAGCTTTGGAAAAGTCACTTCATTAACAAGTGACCTTTTCTACTCGCCCCACATACGTCCTTTGAGGATTCATTAGTTAATGTTTGCACAGAGCTTCGCAGACGCCGACAGCAAGAAGTGCTCAGCCTCCCAATAAGTTGGTTTAAGATGCTTAAGCATACAAATGCAAACTAAGGGTGTTCATTTCAAATGTCAAGCCCAAAAAAGGATCAGTGCCTGCAAATCTAGATGTTGCCTTCTCTTTGGAAATACTTATCTCCACACTGACCTTTGTCTTTAGGAAACTGCATTATCAAATAAACATACACAGAGCTTCTAATGGACCAGCTATGTGTCTTCTTCATATATTGGAATATGTGAAAAAACAGCTGTGAAATGGAGGGTTATAGTTGGAAAACACGAAGAAAGTAGGAACTGGCAGTCTGTACCCTACATTCATTCCAGTTTGGAAGGGGGGAAGGGCAATGAGGGAAACTCTTTTAAGAACCTCTTAATAGAAGCTTCCTCATTTCTTTTAGCTTATGTAGAAGGTGCTCTGTTCAATTCCCCTTTGGGCTACAGTAATCTAAAGTACCACTCATAAAATTAATTTCATCTACATTTGCCAGCTAAAAGCCTAAGTGGCACTTAGGACCATGGTTTAGTGGTGGCCTTGGCAGTGCTGGATTAAAGATTGGACTCAATGATCTTAGAGGTCTTTTCCAACCTAAACAATTCCATGATTATTATAGGTTATTAGTATAGGTTATTTCATAGTATATATGTTAAAGGCTTGATTTTTCTAGACACCCTGAATGAGATTTCTGGATGCATATGAAGGGAGAAACTATTATTCAAGGCATCTATTAACATTGATTGCTGTCAGCTTAACAGATCCCAAGCTCAATGCACATTCAAGAGATGTGAAAACTGTATATTCCACAACAGCAACAGGAGCCAACAAAAAACCCAAAAAAACCAGTACCCAGAAGATGAAAACATCATACAGGTGCTTAATGGCAGCTTTCATTCTTCTATATTTCATCTCTTCAGTATTGCCCAAGATACCTAACCACAGGCATTGTCTGTCTCCAGTTCTTTCCACTCTGCTTCAATTAACAAAGGAATAACAGTAGCCCAATAGATTTCTGAATATAGCTGCACAAAACTTTAGTTTCAGATCCTTTGCTTTCAGTACAAAGAAAGGACCAGAAGGATGCCAGTTAAAAGTAAAAAAAAAAATATTACAACATACCCTGCTTCATATAATAGTTACAATATTTCCATTTTGTTCCTATGCAACAGAGAATCCCTGTCAGATATCTGTGGAAGAAAACATTTCCAATCCTTCTCCACACTAGAGAAGTGTGTATTAGGAAACTACCTAATCCATGGAGAGTAAGTAGTTATTACAGCATCTTTTGATTACTTGGAGTGTGCAGAAGAGCAAAGGGTGTTACCTGCTTTCATCACATCCCCTCAACAGTTAGGGAGCACATCCATTCATGTGTGTGACACACACGCTTTCCATATTCTTTTTAAAACTAGAAGGGTGAAAAGTCTAATGAATTAGAGAAATGCTCACTGAACTTCTGTCTAGTTTGTGGGATAACAGCCACCAAGAAACAATCCAGGCTGAACCACTGCCACCACACTGCTGATGTGATGACAGCAGTTTTCACAGATACATTTTCAGCCTCTGTTCTCCTTGTACCCACACAGCTGTGTAAAGACCAAGGTGTTCTCTTTTAACTAATATGAGGATTTTTCAATTTGCAGGAAGAGAGCTGACATCCTTCCTGAGTACTTGCTTTTTTTTCCACCCCTTACTTTGGAGTGCTAAGCCCAGACTGAGTGATGCTGCTAGTTAAAGAGACTAAGAGCAGTACATTAATAATCTTTGGTCTGTAATTATGTGTAGGTGTCCTAATGTCTGTAATGTTCTATTATTGAATTTCAGACCCTTATCTCAGTTAAGAACATAGTTTACATCTGAATTTGCTGTAAGTAATGGAAAAGACTAAATGAATTATCATCTATAAATGAAAGCTATGGCTCAGATAATGTTGTTGGGAAGACAGAGGTCTGAGCCTGAGGAGAGCAGCCCACCACAAAAGGACTGCATTTTAGCTCCCTATTTGTGATTAATCCTCTTCATGCAACCATTAGCTGTAATAAAAATGGCACAGACTATTTTCTACATGTCTCCATCAGCATAATTCTTCTAAACCACAGAGGGTACCCAGTAAGTCAAAAGTGTACCTCCGTAATTCATTCATGACCTTGAAAGCCTTTCTCATGTGAGAGGGATTGACTGTCACTGTACGCTGGTCCTTTTCATCTTCAGCTGCCTCAGAGGAACGGGAACTCTGCTTAATGCTAAAAACAGGGACAAAAAAAGGAGCAGAAAGTTTGATTCAATGGTACTTTAAAAAACAAGCATCCTAAAACTGCAGCACAGCGTATTAAGCATGGAGTTACTCACAAGTCAGTTAGTTTAGGTTCTCCACATGAAGTGCATCAAAAAATGCAGCTACTTCTGCATGGATGTTGAAAGCCAACTAAGCCCACATTTCAGCCAGCAGGGAAGAAAAGAAAGAAGTGCCAAACACCTGAGGACAAAGCCCAGCCTTACAGGCTTCAGGCCAGAAAAGCAGTATAAGTTGAAATTTAAGCCAGAACATAATTGCCTCTGAATAGAAATAGACTTCAGTACTGGGAACTATAAGAGTACCATGGATTTTTTTAACATTCATACAGAGAAAAGGAAGTTTAGCCTTCAATGTCCCATCTGAAAAAGGCAAGCACACAATATATGACTTGTATCTTCTTTAGAGGCAAGTAGAAAAGGGCTATTAAAACTCCCTGCACAGCTTTGAAAGCTTTACTGAAGCTTCTTTCCATTTCAGAAATAGTCTATTTATTGCCACAGAAACATATGGAATGAATTATTAAACCTTCCTAGCAGAACCACCAGCTCATAGGTAATGTCAAACCAGAGGCACTCAGCTATGTGCTGTGTCTAACCAGGCCAACAGGTGCCTAAGGCACATACGTGTCCTCATTACTTTGTTGGCAGCAATGGCTCTCTACACACAACCGACAGAGGGTCAATATCTCCACCTCCCTGATGTGAAAGCCTGTGAAATCACTCAGAGCTGAAGGCTCCCACCTGAGAAAGGAGCAGCACTCTGAGTCCAGTCCCTGTCCTGCTCACCTCCATGGCTCCCCCCTCAAACCCTGGCAGGCAAAGGCAAACAAGACAAGTCCAGGAGGATTGTCCATGTCTAAAAGAGAATGGTAGATCTTGGGAGGCAACTCCATCGCCCCATGTGCCTGACTGGAGACCTTCTCAGAGCTTTTCCTTCCAAAGGACAGTCTTCTTCACCTTTGTCCCCTCCTCCCTACCACCTTTCTTAGTTGGGCTGGCATGATAAAAAAGGCTGAATTGGGCTAAACCAGCAGTCTGGACAGCCCAGCATCCTGGCTCTCTGGTGACCAGAAGATGGTGTCTGAAGAAGGGCGCAGAGCAGGGAAGTGTGCAAGGATCCCTCCCAGAACAACCTGTCAGCTTCTGTCAAGGTGTGTATGCATGCACATATACATCTATGTACAAGCACGCTTACACACATTGACTTTCCCTTTGAAAAACACGATTCACTATTTACAACCCCTGACAGTGAAGCCCTGGCTAACATTACATCCTGCCTGCTCCTGACCATTGGCTGTCACCACCTCCGTGTCCCTTGACACCACCCGAAGCTCTCTGCCCCCCAACAATCTTTGGTGGGCTGCACTCTCCTTCCTTGAGAAACAAGAGGCTGAGCAGCAGCCTGGCTGCACACAGCTCAAATCCACTCCTGCATACTGAGCAGCCTCCAGCTTTGTGCCTGAGACAAAGGTTAATGCCAAAAACCAGCCCAAGTCCAATTCTTTCACTTTGCTGAGCGAGTGAAATATTTTCAGTTGTAAGTGAAGCCACAAGGCTGAGCAGAACATCACTCAGCACATGTCCCAGTGAGGGGGAGAACTTCCCAAACTCCGTTACTGCCATCATCCAATTAGCTTAGTATGGCTGGATTAAAAGAAGAAAAATCAGAAAGGAGAATACCTCGTGTTAAGCGTTCAGTATTCAAGGGACTGGTACCAGGCAACGACACAAACAGCTTTTCTATCCCTGCAGAACGCTGAGCTCATTCTGTGCCACATGAACTGCCAGAGGTGTTCATGGCCATGGAGCTGTGCTGGCACTTGGCTCTTCCCCAGCCCTGCACACTCCAGTGAAGAAGCTCCCTGCTCTCCTTGCTCCAGGACACGGCCAAATCCAGCTAAGCCTCAGTGCTGTGTCTCTCAAAAGCCTTCATTGAAACTTTGGGCCAAGTGACCACAGCTTTCAACATTCCACCATAAACCCTTGATTTTTAAACAGCTAAGCCTGCCCATATATGATTGAGCCAAGAAGGGAAAAAAAGGCTCTGGAAGTGCAAGTGACTTCATGGAGCTTTCAGGCTCCAAAGCTGGAACACGTACAGGAAGTAAGCAAAGTAAACAAAAAAGAAAAAAAAAAAAAAATAAAAAGAAAGTGAAACCAAAAGGGAGCATCAGGGAGAGCCACTCCTATTGCTCCCGGGTAGGACAGCTGGATGCCCACAGGACACTGCCCTGGGCAGCCTCACAGACACCTCAAGGATCCAAACCCAAGCCAGAAATCTTGGGGGCTCTTTAATAAGAACAAGCACACTGCTGAGATTTGTTTAGTAGCTCTCCAGTGCCAGAGACCAAAGATGTTCAAACTTTTCTGCTGGCAAAAGATACAGTTCAAAGAACGCAGTAAGTTTCACTGAACACCAAAGTAAATGTCAGGTCAAATGTCAAGCTTTCATAAAGCCTCAACTGCACCAACGTTTGTCTGTGTATTTTAAAAGCAAAAAAAACTTGCTTCAGGATTTTGGAAGAAGATCAATCAGCTCTTCCTAAAAAGCAGGAAAGATAGGTTTTTACAAAACATCCTAAGAAACATCCTCAGCTTAATTAAAAGGGGCAGATTTCAGAATTTGCCAAAAGCTCGCCATGAGAAAATACTGCAGATTGTCTGTTTAAAATCTTATTTCAAAAAAGATCAAGATATGCTATTTAAAGTTTTTTCCAACTGACTCATATAAAAAAAAAAAAAAGAAAAACAAATTTGAAGAATTAATGGCTAAGAGCCTTTAACTCATCTCTAAGACTGATTCAGCTACCATAGAATTGTGTTCCAGTAACAGACAGAGGATGATTTTATCTGGGAGAGATATTTTACACTTCCATGCACATACTCTCAGAGATCACTGACACATTTCCAACATAAAAATGCAAGAACCTGAATGCTCCAAGCAAATGCACCCTGAGAAAAAGCAAAGGCTGCCCTAAGAAGACCAAACCATTACATTTCACAGCCTTTTCTGAGATTTGTCCTCCCAGAAGGCTAAGAATTATTGCATTTATTACAATGTTTTTATTTTAATGGATTAAAGCAAAGGAGGAATAGGGTCCTCTGATCAAAGATACCAGCCAAGACCAACTGGACATGGTAGAGCCCCTGCACCCCATGACCACAGGGACATGGCCCCACTTTTGCCAAGCTGATGTCCTACTACAGCAGCAGGACTCTGAGCCAGCTGCCAGCAGCAATTTGTTCTATTCCTGGGCTATCCGAGGCCGTGCACTGACTGAATGGACAAATGATTTAATTTCCCTGGGCCAGATGAACATCCTCTTTACAGAGACAGCAGGATGCTCCTAAAATGAGCAGAGAGGCTCTTAGTTTCAGACAGTGCCAACCCCACTGCTCCCTCCTGCGTGACCTTTCAATAATGTCCCCAAGTAGAACAAATGAACCCCTATTTGAGAGACCCCAATTAAGCCAGTGAAGCTAATCACCACCCTGTTGACACCGTGTTCCTCCTCTCCAGGACCCCCTAGCAGAGCTGGGCTCAGGTTGCCAGGGCTCACAGCCCAGCTCCTGCCCAAGTGTGGCCACAACCCAGCTGACAGAAAGGTATTTTAAAATCCCATACCCCACCGTTCTGCTGCCTGCATGAATCAATTATAAAGTTGGGTTGCCTTAGTTACCATCAATAATTACAGATGTCTTTGTAGATTATGTGAAAGAATAAAAGCCTTCCTTAGAGATAAACTGTCCCCTGGCAAGATTATTGCTGTGCAGAGAGCTGGTAAACCCCAGGAACAAAAATCCCAGCTCTGCCAAATCCAGTTCTAACACTGGCTTTATGGGAGCCAGGAGCTCACCCTGAAGGAAGGGCAGATCTCAGATGCACTCTCCTTCAGAAGGGCAAGGTTCTGCTCATGTTTCTGGGAGAACAGCCTCCAGGCTCAGCTCCTAACCCAACAAGAATACCACGGAGGTCCCACTGCACCAGGCTCTGTCACTGGGGAGGTGATGGGACACCAGACATGTCCAGCCACGCCTCATCCCACTGTGCATCCCTGGAGGGTCTCTGGGAGCTGCTCTCCTCTCCTGCCTGAGCACCACAGGCTGAGCTCTGCTCTGCTGGTTGGTCCCTAACAACACAGAGCTTCAGCACCACGAGCTGGGCCAAAGATCCAGCTGGGCTCAGCATCCTGCAAGGGCAATCCAGCACCTCTGAGCAGCTTCATACCCCTGGATTAACTTAAAAGTGCCTGCTAACCACAAATTTCCAAAGCCTGTGGAGCTTTTTTGGGGGATATGCAAGAATCATCACCAGAAAATGTTAATCTACAGTTCCTGAGAAGTTTGACATCACTGTGGTCTAACAACCTGACAGATGCCCAATAGCAGTTAGTAGTCTTGAAAACTTTAACAGCGCTACAAAAATCAATAGTGACCAAAATTAGTCTTAGTTTTAGTCTAAGCACAATGAAAAATCATTTTACTTTAACTGGCCTAATTCTCTGTTTAGAATCAATGCCCCAAATCACAGGACAAATGCATTATGGCCAATAGTTTTATTCCTCTAGTCAGGCAGACACAGTAAGGAAAACATGAAATGGCATAGTTATAAAAATCTCAATTTCTGAATTTGTCTTTAGGTACATACAAAGACATTAAAAAAAAAAGTGACTGAAGGGATCCACATATTGAACTGGGTTTTGAGAGGATTTCAGAGAAATGTATTATCATTAAAACATATGGGAGGCAGCGTAATGGAAAGGATTATTTTTCTTTTAATAGCAATATTATTTTCCGATTTTGCTGATTTTTTTTCAGTGCCTAGATCAACATGGAGACATTAGCTTAGGAAAACACACAAATGGCATACAGCAGATCCCTAAAAGGGTATTCATATCAAAGGAGACCTCAGGGGGAAAGAAGACTTTCGGAACTAGTGAGAAGAAAA